CAAGCACCAAACAACACACTTTGTGGACATATATAGACCACTGACACATTCCCTTCCTCTTAAAGTCTCTAGATTCATACCGTCTGAGCTACATACATAATTAGGAACAGGTATGGAAGAAGACTATGGAGAAACTGGTTTGGATTTGGTTCCAACCAAGTCTTGTAGTCTCCTTACCTATGCAGAGTGTGATGTAAAGCAGGCCCATGCGAATATCCAGGCGGAAGAAAAGAATTGCATTGGCCACTTTACTGAACATGAAGATGTTGCCTATATGTTGCTCCACAGTGACTGAAACACAAAGATGTCACGGGTCAGGCTAGGCAGCAAGCTCCTATATCCCATTCTTTGTCCCTCTTCCTGGAATACTTTGAAATGGGAGAGTGGGGGAGGGGGATAAAAGTCCAAGATCAAATTCAGTGTTGGCATGGAATGAGGGACTGGTACAGTAAGTAATGCCTCTCTCATAACATGAATGAAAACACCTCCGAAGGGCTTTGGGCCTACCCTTGGGAGACAGAGAAACAGGCTAGACTTACTGGACCTGCGGTTCTTCATCATCACGATGGCACTGAGAAACATCAGGATCTCTATTTCTCTCTGCAACAAAATCAGAGTGGCAGGAATGCCATCAGCAGAGATAATATTGGTGGGTAAAGGCGCCAATATAGAACAAAACCCAACAGAGATCCAAAAAGGGAATGATAACAATAAATAACTACGCTAAGGCATAGTGGGAAAAACACCAGTCAGAGGATCTAGGTTCAAGTTCTAACCCTGCCACAAACTGGCTGGTGCCTTTCAGCATATCAACTGCTGAGCTTTGGTTTCCACCACTGAACAACGTCTATCTCAAAATGCTTTTATAAAGATTAAATGATAATGGATATAAAACAGTTGTATAAAGTATAACATGGAATAAAACTGTGAGAAATTACAACCAATTCTGTGATTCTGGGAAAACGAAACTTTTCCGGGAAGACTTTCTTCTAATATTACATTCATACAATATAAGGTTATTTACTTTATTTGGTTTTGCTTAAGTTAAATTATTCCTCTTCATCTAATATTCACAGTAATAATCATGCACCTTTAATATAACCTGAAAGCTGAAGGAGGCATTTCAGAGCTCCCAAGGCCCTTTTCAGTATCCTTGGCTTATGGTTCTTTCTCACATTCTAGAACAGTGATGGTGAATCTATGACACGCGTGTCAGAGGTGACACGCGAACTCATTTTTTTGGTTGATTTTTCTTTGTTAAATGGAATCTAAATATGTAAAATAAATATCAAAAATATAAATCTTTGTTTTACTATGGTTGCAAATATCAAAAAATTTCTATCTGTGACACGGCACCAGAGTTAAGTTAGGGTTTTTCAAAATGCTGACACGCCGAGCTCAAAAGGTTCGCCATCACTGTTCTAGAATGTAAGCGCCAAGTGAGCAAAGTGAGAAAGACAATAAACATGACAAAGAAATAAGTAATTTGAAAGAGTAATAACTGCAGTGAAGAATAACAATGACCATGTGAAACAGAGCATGAGAGGAGGGCAACTATAAATTAGATGGTCTGAGGCCTTTCATACCTTTCTGTTTACCTTTCTGTTTATAATGCAGGGGGCAAATCAATGTCAGACAGAACCAATCAACTGTGATTTACAGCTGGGAGTCAGAGACTTAGGTTTTTAGCCTCAATTTCCAACAAAAAGTAACTTACTGGATTTAGAAATGGCTATGTAAAGTGGAAGTTAGGGAAGATGATAGATAGTAAGGTCTTACTACATATACCTGAGCAGAAATGAGGAAGAGTTGACCTAACCCATTTGGCTCAGTGGATAGAGCGTCGGCCTGCGGACTCAAGGGTCCCAGGTTCGACTCTGGTCAAGGGCATGTACCTTGGTTTCGGGCACATCCCCAGTAGGGGGCATGCAGGAGGCAGCTGATCGATGTTTCTAACTCTCTATCCCTCTCCCTTCCTCTCTGTAAAAAAATCAATAAAAAAAAATATATATTAAAAAAAAAAAGAAAGAAATGAGGAAGTTTTCCCAAATGAAATTGGGTTAGCCCAGTGGTCGGCAAACTGCGGCTCGCGGGCCACATGCGGCTCTTTGGCCCCTTGAGTGTGGCTCTTCCACAAAATACCGACTTCTGCGCATGGGCCACGAAGTTTCAATCGCACTGTATGTGCGCACCTGCACGTGGTATTTTGTGGAAGAGCCACACTCAAGCAGGAGGCAACCAAGTATGTGTTTCTCTCACATCGATATTTCTCTCTGCCTTTCCATCTCTCTTCCACTCTCCCTAGAAATCAATGGAAAAATATCCTCGGGTGAGGATTTTTAAAAAAAGAAATTGGTTAGAATTGAGGCTTAAAATTGTGGAAAGATGGATTTAAAAAGGGAACTGTGGTCAATCAGGAGACAACGATAGGACTAACAGAAATATTCTGGCTCTATAGCAAAGACTAGCTATGTATACTCTGGGCAAACTGCAGCTAGACTGTCTCCTTACATCTAGGTAGGACTGTGTGACTAGCACTCCTGAATGGAATGTGAGTGGAAGAGATGTGTCCCTGTTGCACACAGGCAGTAAGAAAGGGTGTGTCCTTGCATTCCAGGTCTCTTTCTTCATCTGCTGGCTGGATGATCCTGGGATGACCATAAGTCCATAAATTGAAGACAGTATGAGACTGGTTTCCAGACTAACTATATGAAGCAGAGCCCTTTTGATTGTTCTGCTTGTTTGCTCATTGTTTTTAAACTTTTTTATTATGGACATTTTCAAACATACACCTAAGTTGAGAGGATACTGAATAGTAGCAGAATATGACAGCCCAAAATATGCCACTTTGGCTGAAGGATTCTTTTGAGCCTAAAGGCAATTGAGAACTAAATACTAAAAAAAGCCCAACCCATTTATCTAAAAGCAAGACATGAAGTTTCAAAGGTGTCCCTCTAACCCAGTGGTTCTCAACCTTCCTAATGCTGCGACCTTTTAATACAGTTCCTCATGTTGTGGTGACCCGCAACCATAAAATTATTTTCGTTGCTACTTCATAACTGTAATTTATCTACTGTTATGAATCGTAATGTAAATATCTGATATGCTATATGTGTTTTCTGATGGTCGCTGAGAATCGCTGCAACCCACTCTACCAGGAAGGACAAAAGTTAATCAAGGGAGATAACCTTAATCCCTATTAGCTTGAAGAGAGCACCAGAGGAATCTATATAACAAACTAGACTTTATATACCATTAGTTTATCTTCCTATAGTTAGTTGCCTCTGGAAGCCTAAAACTTCTGTGTCTAGTCATTTCTCCACAATTTTACTGTTCTTTGTTAAAGACACTATAAGCCAGAGTTTTAAGCCACCTCTTTAGTAAAATCTTTAGTAATATCCGTTATATTTTTTAGTCCCATTTTGGTGAAAGTAATATAGGATTATCAGATAAAAATGGGATCTTTTGAAGTAGCATGGTTACCCTTAAGCTAATTACTAGAACGGTCTGGGAAAGGACAAAGGAAATAATAAAGAGTAAACAAGGGATGGAGGATAAAAGTAAGGGAGTGGGCTCTGCTAAAGGTCAAGACTCATCATTTGGAAAAAAGATCAAACTCGCCCTAACGGTTTGGCTCAGTGGGTAGAGCGTCAGCCTGCGGACTCAAGGGTCCCAGGTTCGATTCCGGTCAAGGGCATGTACCCTGACTGTGGGCACATCCCCAGTAGGGGGCGTGCAGGAGGCAGCTGATTTATGTTTCTTTATCATCGATGTTTTTAACTCTCTATCCCTCTCCCTTCCTCTCTGTAGAAAATCAATAAAATATATTAAAAAAAAAAAAAGATCAAAACTCAGCATGGCCCTCCTTCCTCAGAAACAGATGCTGCGATACAGCAGAGGGCCCAGAGCTTCGGCTGGTCTGTCTGGGTGCTCCCTGCACCCCTACTCAGGAAGTCAACAGCAAGAGGCGTGGGAGAGATTTCTCTTCGATGTGTTTTTTCAATTCCTTTCGACTGGTGTAACCACTGTATTCATTTCTGCATCCTCCGCATGCAGCATAGTTCCTAGCATATGGTGTGCATTGAGAAGCGGGTGGTAAGAGTGTGCAGGTAATACGGCCAGGAGCATGGTTTCAAGTCCTAACCGTGTGACCTTGGACAAGCCGCCTCATCACGCCGAGATCAACTTCCCCACCGGTAGAACGGGAACACGACTACTTGTGTATCTCAAAGGCTCCGTGAGGGGCTTACAGGTGAGCAGCACTGAGGGTGGCTGCACGCACATACGCACAGCTGGGGTCCGGCTGTCGTGCAGGCTAGCCGTTTTTACCGTCTTCATCAAACACCAAGCGGTTCAGACTCGATTACGGCCCAGGCCCTATACGTTAATGGTAAGCCCGCGACAGGCGCGGAATCTCGGATGCAACCACAGAGAAAGGGACCGTCAAGGTCGCGGGGTCCTGACTAAGGCGGGGGTCGCTCACCCAGTCAAAGTCACACGGGTTGCCGTCTTCGCGTTGCGTGGGGAGAGTGTGACAGAGCGGGGGCAGCTTCCTCACGAGTAGGAAGGCAGCAGAGAGCAGGGCTGAAAGAAGGTAGTAAGGTCGGGCCAGCCATCGTGAAAGGCGCGGCACCGAATACACCAATGCAATCAAAGGTGCCAGGACCGCCATCTTCTTGGCCGGCGGCGCAGGCCGCTCTCGGGTGTCGGTAGGCCTGGCCCCGCCTCTTCCACCATTGAGACGTCCAGTGGGCCGAGTCGTGGATGCACCGCCTCTGGACGCAAAAGTCGATTTCTGATTGGACGCTACGGTACGCACTGAAAAAGGTATATGATACTTTATTGGTCAATCTGGCTGTCGCTTTTCCATCTCAGTCATTTTATTGGATATGCGACTATGGCCGGGGACTAAGGTTAGCTAGTACTTCCTGTACGTACTCACAAAGCGACGGAAGTAGTTGCCGGAACGAGGTAGGCAGGCCCCGAGGCATCCAATGATCAGTGGCTCATGGAGGAAGAGGACGGTACGCCGGAAAAGGATTGTCCAATGAAAACCACTAGCGCCAGACACCAGGACAGCGCTGGGGCAGAAGGAAAGATGGAGAATTTCACGGCGCTGTTCGGAGCTCAGGCTGACCCACCCCCGCCCCCAACCGCACTCGGCTTCGGACCAGGAAAACCTCCACCCCCGCCTCCTCCTCCTCCAGGCGGGGGGCCCGGCACGGCTCCGCCCCCCACCGCGGCCACGGCCCCGCCCGGTGCTGACAAGTCAGCAGCTGGTTGCGGTCCCTTCTACCTAATGCGGGAACTGCCAGGTGAGTGCTAGGCCTGGCCAAAGTCAGCCAATCAGGTCATAATCGGGGTGATGGGCGTGATTGTTAACCGGGTGGTGGAGTTGCCAGGTAACCTAGGCAACTCGTGCCAGAACCCTGGAGCTCTAAATTGAAAGGCCTCCGTGTAACTAGTTTGAGGAGATGGAATCAAGAGTCATTTTGAACATGGCTCCAAAATGCCTTTTAGTTCATCCCAAGTTCTGCTACATCAAGAATTAAGGGAAATAACAATGGGTATTGGTACAGTAATTTGAAGTTCATAACGCAGTTCTATATGTGTAACATAATATATAGAATAGCCCCCTGAGGTAGGCATTGTTATCTACATTTTATAGTTGAAAAAACCAAAGCACAGAGAGGCTGAAGCATAGAACTTTCCTTTGGTTAGTTATTGGTTGGTGTCTACCACTAACCTTACCTATTCTGACTTTACCTATCAGTTGACAGATACTGAATATATGTTTTGGGCAAATGTTGAGTGTGTAGGTAGAAGAGGAACAAGATTAATAAGTCTGGTCCTTGTTTTTAAGAAGCTTGTTTTACTTAGGGATGCAAAGTATGTAGTTTAAGGAAAGTGACCATATTTCTTGTCAAGGCCAATCTCATTATTTGGTGGTCATGCCTCACATACAATTAAGAACTACGTGGTGGTTTTCAAAATATTATCCAAAATGAGAGCAAGAATAAGTTGTCACTTGAGCTAGACCTTGAGGAATTTATATTGGTGAACAATATTAGGAAGACTTTCCCTATAATTAGGTTAGTTTTCCTAAAAGGAAACACTATGAGGGGTGTTTTTTTTTTTGGTTTTTTTTTTTTTCAGGACATTAGGAGACCCATTTGGATGGATCAGAAATTTTGCATAGGGGACTAATGGTTGACTAGGTCCCAAAGCTAAGTTGTAGTAAAATGTGTTTAACCATGAGTGCCAACGGAATTTTGAGGTCTTTCCTGAGGGCTATAGGAAATCATTGAAGGTTTTGGTTTTTTTTAACTGATGAGTACTGCTTCTAAAAACATCTAGAGAGTGGGAGGTACCATGTATTGTGGCTGGGTAGCTCAATTGGTTAGAACATTATCTTCATATGCCAAGGTTCAATCCTCAGTAGGGGAACATACAAAAATAAACCAATGAATACATAAATAAGTGGAACAACAAATATCTCTTTCTCTGTTTCATCACCCCCGCCCCCCCATATCTCTCTCTAAAATCAACCAACAAATAAAAAGCCATAGTATCTACACAGAATTGACTAAGTCACAGAGGTGAGGAACATCCGGCCCGTGGGCCATTGTAAGGCCCGTGAAATCATTTGGTCTAGCTCTGACAAGGCATGAGGGGTGAGTTAACTAAATGTTTGATCAAATATAGCAGGCTAATCTTTAAGTGATAATTTTGTATGACCCAAGAATGATGTTATAAATATCTAAATGGCCCTTGGCAGAAAAAAAGTTCCCCACCCCTGGACTAAAAGGAAATTGGAAGTGCAAGATTAGTTTTCAGGAGAGGAATCAGGGCTGGGGAGAGAGATTTTAAATCATCTTCATAGAACTGACGGTCAGAAAGTTGGAATGACTCTTAAATTAAAGCTCAGAAGAGGCAGAGTGTCTTCTCACCTGAGTCTTGAGCATAACCACCTGGAAGGAGGAGAGTCAACAGAAAGAGGGGATAAAATCAGAATAGTATAATGGCCAGAGGCAATGCCGAGTTTGAGGAGAGGTACTCTGGCACTGTGTCTCCTACCATTAATAGTGTGTGTTTTTATTTTTGTTGATGAGAGAGGGCGAGGGAGAAACACCAATTTGCTGTTCCACTTTTTTATGTATGTGCCCTGACCAGAGATTGAACACACAACCTTGGTATATGGGGACGACACTCCAACCAACTGAGCTACTTGGACAGGGCTGCTCTCTTTCTTATCAATGGAATGTGGTAATATCTTAAATACACTGATTTTTTTTTTTTTTTTTTTTACGGTTTAAACAAACACATACTGAAAAGTATAATATAAATGTAAGGCATTAATATTGTGTGGCTGACTTAAAAACATCTTATTCTCCCTGCATTCTCTAGGCAGCACGGAGCTGACAGGCAGCACCAACCTGATCACACACTACAACCTGGAACATGCCTATAATAAATTCTGTGGGAAGAAAGTGAAGGAGAAGCTGAGTAACTTCCTGCCTGACCTACCCGGAATGATTGATCTGCCAGGGTCCCATGATAACAGCAGCCTCCGCTCCCTCATTGAGAAGCCCCCTATTCTTGGTGGCTCTTTTAATCCTATCACAGGGACCATGCTGGCTGGATTCCGCCTCCACACTGGCCCGGTGAGTCCCCTCTTGGGGAGGAAGGAGGCAAATGGGGAGGCCTGAAAGGCATGGAGGTAGTTTTTCTGTCCAAGCCTGTTCCTTCCTAACTTACTGAGCAGAACAATGGGGAGCAGGGGCTTTGCTCCCTCCACTCATCCAGACCTTCCTTTGGTTCCTTCAGTTGCCAGAGCAATGTCGTCTGATGCATATTCAGCCTCCCAAGAAAAAGAATAAGCACAAACACAAACAGAGCCGTACCCAGGATCCTGTCCCCCCAGGTAAGAAGCAGTTCTATTCAAAGCCAGAAACCGGATGTTCTAAATCTGGTTCACCCATCCTCAGTACAAAAAAAAAAAAAAAAAGCAAGAAAGTTCCTTACAGAGTCCTGGACTCCCAAATTCTCCTGAAAAAAGAAGTTGATGTTCTGGGGTCTCCTGGGCAAGTAGGACCTTGGGACAAGGACCTTAGCAGTGCCTCCATATCCTCTCTGGCCATTTGAACAAAAGCAGTTGCCCTTGACTAGGGGGTTGGGTTTTCCTATAATCTGCAGAGTTCTAGCAGGAGGGGATTTTGAGCTCTACATTTGATAGGCACCTAATGTCTCCAACAGAAACGCCATCTGATTCAGATCACAAGAAAAAGAAAAAGAAAAAAGAAGAGGATCCTGAACGGAAAAGGAAGAAGAAAGAGAAGAAGAAAAAGAAGGTAAAATAGGGGCCTGTTGCTGTAGCCCAGTGAGTTTCCCTTATGTCTCACCCCTCCCTATACTAGCTAGAGTCCTTGGCTGCAGGTTGGACCCAACATTGAAAACTTAGGGCAGGTTGCACTGTTTTCCCATCCACTCCTGGTCAATGCCAAGGCTACTGCCTAGTTGTTCTTGTGTTCCTGCTTTGTCTTCCCCAGAACCGACACAGTCCAGACCACCCAGGTATTGCCAGTTCTCAGGCCAGCAGCAGCAGCAGCCTCCGCTAACAGGACAACTGGACTCTGCCAGAATGACTTTTCCTGCTGTACTGAACCTGCTGTCAAAAGCTGCCTTCCTGGCTCTTGGACACTGCCTTAGGAGCATCTACAGTGGCTGGATCAGAAGCAGTCCTACTGTGCTCATAAGAGGAATGCATTATGAGAGAGAAGGGCCATGCTTTTGTAAGGCTCAGTCCAACTTTCTCATGGACATCTCTTCCTCTCACAAGGAAGCTTTCTTTTCATCTCTTTTGTGCAGTTGTCTGATTTAGGACCTTATCTGATTTGTTAGGGTTTTTCTTTAAAAAAAAAAAAAGAAATTGCATTTATCAAACTGGCTGAAGTATGACTGCCTATTAAGAGGTAAGTGCCTTTCTGTGAGAGTCAGAGTTTAAGCCACAGCATGCTAATATCTGGGGGGATTTGGGCCTTGTATTATATTATCAGTAGGCAGGGAACCAACCAAAATGAAATTGGGGAACATGGTCCAAAAGTTAGGAAGAGTTTGTTAATACCTTTCCACAGACAAATAACACCTTGCCCATAGTGTTGACAACCAAACACCTGGATGAGCTTCATACTCCATCTGAAGAGCTGATCCAGTTAGGGCTTGACTGTATTCTAGGTCAATTTTGTGTTGAAACAGAATAGCCAACCAAAAAAGCACCTACAATCAATCACCACTGTACTTCAACAAGTTGATTCTTGGTCAAGCCCATGATTTTTTTGAAGTGAATATCTGGCAAGCAAAGGTAAATGCTTCTCTTATCTTTATACTAGTAGTAAGAACTTTGGAACTGCCTCATTCCTTAGTTAAGACAAAGTATTTGGCTGATGTGAAAACATTTCTAAGCTTCTAAGACAGCAACAAAAGGCAGCCTAAACTAACAAAATGTAAAGTTAAGTCCCTTTGGTCTTTGCAGGCCAAATAACTGAAAAAAATCTGAGAAAACCCAGCCTAATGTAATCAGACTAGAAGTTAAATTGGCAGAACAGTTAAAATCTATTGCTACCAGCCTCTAGATTGTAGAGGGAAAACCACTCTTTCATTTAGGTCTAATTTTACAGTAGGATTTCAGAGTTCATATACTTGTTATAAACAGTGAAAATAAAGGGTTCTAGCCAGTTTCCTGAGATTAAGTGTCCAAGGGTGCTTATTAAAATTAGGGCACAGCCTTTTGCTTTTGCAAACAGAAGACAAAAACAGGAGATATCAAATTGAACTGCCACCCATATATACAGTTGGCCTTTAAGAGGGCTTTCATATTTTGATCATTCAGTCTTCCCTTTGGCTACATCCAAAATGAACTTTACTTTTCAGAGACAATTCTGTATTAAGAAACAAGTGTGGCACAAGTAAAGAGTTCTCTAAGCTTCAAAATGACAGACTTTAGTAGTTGCAAATGATTTCCCATCCCCAGGAATTTTGGGGATTAAATCACTGGGTAAAAAACACCAGGACCTGTTGTCTTAAGTGGTTATTTTCACTACAGTCCTATCTAAAGATGGGTCAGGACCAGAAAAACTTCTGAGGCTTTCTTTATGACTCTCCACCAGAGACCATTCACCCTGCCTTAACCAGACAAAATAACACAAGTCAGGGGGGAGCTGGTTAGATCAGGATTTCTTTTTATTCCTTGTTGGTTTAAAATGGCTAATCAGAATAAAAAATAAAATGGCCTCTATCTAGAGGCTGGGGTCTCCCCTGTTTAGAGGTTAGAACCCAGGTATCTCCTCTACCCAGCACCATACTGAGGTGGGCTGAGGGGTACCTCTCAAGGGACAATTGGAGGGGCTTAGGCCTGCCACTCCTCCTCTCTATCCCATTTTTGGCATGTGATGAAAAATATTGCTTTTTGGATTCTTCTCTCCTAGCCTTGGATTTAAAAATGTTAACTGTGTGTGAAACGGGGGAAGGATTTGAGGGGCTAGTTGAAGAAGCCCACCCTAACTAATCCTTCCATCCCAAAAAGGGGATTATCCAGTTGTTTCTGGAGCTTGGCAAAGCTCTTTTCCTGATCTCTCCTCCACCAAAAACATCATGGGGCTGTGACCCCTTTCCTGGGAAAACTAAGTGCCAATGAGCCCTGAAAACTTTACTCTCTCCTCTGACCAAGACTTCAGACTCGCCTCTCTCCAGTTCCTTTCCTGATCACTAAGCACCGACAACATGGGGTGCTATTTTCTTAATTGGTAATGGACAAAAGAGAGAACCCTGGGGCAAAGGAAGACTTCTATTCACATCTTTCCTCTTCTCCTGCTGGTCCCAGGAATGGGAAGAGTAAGATCCCCCTCTTAAACATCCCTCCCTCATTTTCCCATCCCAGGATAGATATATAATTTCTTTGATATTTATAATATATATATGTATATATATGTACACACACACACCTGGTAACGCAGAAGAGGAAAAAAATAGAATCCGTAACAATAATAAAAAAAATTATTTCTGGTTTAAAAATGATCTGGTTCTCTCCAGGGCGAGCAATTGCACAAATGTCCACTGAGTCTGGTCCAGGGGTTGAGGAAGGGAAGGTCTTAATAGGTAAAGGGGGTTGCTGCCCCAGTCTCAGGGCCCCAACTCTCGACTCCCCAATCCCATTGCATTTTATAAAACGCTCCTCATCCTCTTGGAATCGGTGGTTTAAAAAAATGTCCATGCAGGGGAGGAGAGCCCCTTGAGGAAAGGAAGGTGGCCACCTGGGGGGCCCTTTGGTGCAGGCGCAGAGGTGTGGGGGAGGGGAGGTGCCGAAGGCTCACACCGAAATCTCATAGGTGGTGCCACCTACTCCTGACACTTTCTTGACTCCTCCCCTTGTAGGGCTACTGAGAGGTGGCTGGCCTGGGCCAGGGGAAGCTGAGCCTATACTCTTGGGCTGCCCATTGGACTTGCTGTAGGCGGTCTTGAGCTGTACTTCATCTCTGGGAAGGAAAGAGAGAGAGAGGTGTCAGGAACTGGGACACAAAACACAGAAAGGGGAGACAGTTTTAAAAGTTCGGGGGGGAAAAATGATGTACTTTTCTCCATACATACTTTTTTTAGTGTGATGAATAACTTAATTAAATGATTTGTACTTAAATATGCTTTCTTATCAAAACATTCCCTTTTGTTTTATTGCACTGCTTGAAACAAGCCTGATTCCCTATCTCCTATTTATTTCTTCTCTCCAATAGCAGCTATCTTGTATATTTACACTCAAATAAATTTTTAGGAGGACAGGATTAAGAAAAAGTATTAAACTTCAGTCTCTTAACAGGAATGGCCCATGAAAGCAGCTGGAGTGAAAATGAAAATGAAGAGCTATCCACAAGCAGGACAACCCTGGGTCCATTTGCACTAGAACATACAAGGGCAGTCCTGATGCCTTCTACAGGGCAGGATGCTAATTATAAGTTCGCTGAAGGCCAGGATGGACTAATACTTACTTGGGTGTCAGTAACGGCTGCAAGGCCACTTCTTCAGTCTCAGAGACACCAGGTTGGGCTTTTTGGCTGCTATAAGACATGGATCGGCCCAGGTATGGAGCAGTTGGGCCTGATTCAGGGGACCCCAGTCCCCGGCCCCTTAGTCCATCTGGCTTGCCAAATCGGGGCACAGCTGGGCGTCCCAATGGAGTCTTGCCCAAGGGTGACCTCTTCGAATCATCTGAGGAGGAACTAGTACGAGGGGCATGGCCTGAGCCTGGTGTCGACTGAATGCCGGAGTCCCCCAAGCCTGGTTCTTCCTCTCGACCTGGGAGTGGGGGTGACTGGCGTAGCAGCTTCTCTCGTTCCTGGAGGGAGGCCACAATATGGCGCGACAGATTGTCGTACCGGACTGGTGAGGGCTCTTGGTGTGCTGGGCCAGTTGGCACCAAATGTGGGTGCCTCTCAGCTTCCCGCTGTTGAGCCAGCCGGGCTGACAGGAAGGGAGAGGTGTAGCCTAAAGGTGTGTCTGGCTCAGGCCCTGCCTGCACTGACTCAAAGTCAGGGCTGTCGGAAGGAGTGAGCAGGCTGTCATAAGATAAACTTCCATTGCGTGTCTGGTTAGCCAGGCTCTTATAGGAAGTGGAGGTTGTGCCCTCTGAACGGATGGACTGCAACTGGCCCAGCTCAAAGCCTGTGCCCTGGGCCGACTTGAGGCTGGAGGAGCGTGAACCACTGGACAGTGGGTCGAAGTGAAAGCTTTTGCCAAAAGTGGGAGAGCGGAAGCTCTCTGGCTCCAGGCTGGGTTCTGACCGGTAGCTGGGATGGCGGCTGCTCTCTGCAATTGAGGTTGGCTCCTTCAAGCTGTCACCACGACTCAACTGGGGGAGAAAATAAAGCAGGCTCTTAGTGCTGCTCCTCACATGACATACCAGGTCCCAGAGCCCAAGGAGTACCTCAAAAATGCCCTGTTACATGCCAGCAATGTTTAGAACATTTGTATGCATTATCTTGTTTAACCCCTAAAGCAAATCTCTGAGTTAGTACAAATAATACCACATTTTAAGATGCAGAAAATAAAACTTAAGTAACTTGCTCGTGATGGGTTTGAACTTAGGTATGACAATCAGTGCTTTTATCTATTTTGCTTCCTTGCCCCTTTAATGAAGTAACATCAACAAGATTCAATCCCACTAACACAGTGGTCGGCAAACCGTGGCTCACGAGCCACATGCGGCTCTTTGGCCCCTTGAGTGTGGCTCTTCCACAAAATACCACATGCGGGCACGCACGTACAGTGCGACTGAAACTTCATGGCCCATGCGCAGAAGTCAGTTTTCGACCTGGGCGAGTCTATTTTGAAGAAGTGGCGTAAGAAGGGGGGGGGGGGGGGGTCGGTCGGTCGGTCGGGCAACGGGAGACACGGCGCAGGCGGGCCGCGGGATACGCAGCGCGGGGGGAGGCACGCACGATTCATGCACGAGTTGAGGATGGGAGAGCTGGAAGGGGTCCACCTCAGTGAACGTACCTCAATCAGATTGAGGATGTTTTTAGCAAAGGCCAGCTTAGGAGTACCCTAATTATATACAATGTACCTACCTATATAGTTTAAGTTTAAAAAATTTGGCTCTCAAAAGAAATTTCAATCATTGTACTGTTGCTGTTTGGCTCTGTTGACTAATGAGTTTGCCGACCACTACACTAACACCAACAATTAGTAAAATGCCTTTGATTTTCTTTTCTTCCCTCTGCCTCTTCTTTCCCTTCTCCCAATCTTCTTCCCAGAACAAGTGGCATATTTACAACCCTACTACTTAGGGAGAACCCAGTACCTTGGCGCTGGAAGAGTGAGGCATGGCGGCTGATGTGCTGCTGCTACTGTAGCCTGGCCGGTACTTGTACATGGTAGGTGTGGGGGGGCTGTCCTTGCTCAACAGGCTGCTGTCTGTGGGGAAAAAAAGGCCCAGAGGAACCACTTTACAAGCTCTGCTCTTAACCTAGCTAGAGTTCCTTAAGGTAGAGGAGAGAACAAGGTAGGAATAGGTATACTCAGCCAAGGGAACATGATTTTGTTGAAATCAAGACTAAAGACTCCTATTAGTTCAGATCTCAGTGAATATATCAAACAGGATGCTCTCTGTCTAAAGCTGACAGTTCCCCCACAAACATCTAATTCACTGCCAGTAGCTAAGTGGTATCCCCTTTCTCCCAGCTGTTCAAAGTAGTGGCTCAAGTGCCACCTATTGGGTGTTCTCAGCTACAGCAAAAGCACTATCAAGCCCTTGCCTGTATCTGCGCTACAATTCAGTCACCTTCTCACTCCTGCTGCCCTTACCCTCATTAGCAGCCAGATTGAGGTGTGTTCGTAGCCCTGTATAACGGCTCAGGTCCGGCTTAGGAGGAGGTGGAGGTTCAGCATCTGCGGACTGGCTCTCTGTAATCTCCAAGCTTCCTTTAGACTGGATAAAAGAGGGAAAATCAGGGCATTAGGCAATTCACAAGTATTAAACTGGTAACAGAGGAGTGTTGGAGAGTCAATTATATATTTCTAAACGGACTGGAAGACAAGGGACAAGAGTCAGTTTGAGAATGGTACTGGATTAAAAAAAGTTTTCAACAAGAGTTTAATCCTGCCATTTATTTGTGGGTTGGTTTTTGTTGTTGTTAATCCTCATTGTGAGGTTATTCTTCCATTGATTGTTGTGTAGAAGGGCAGGAGGAAGAGGGAGAGAGAAACATCATTGTGAGAGAGACACATCGATTGGTTGCCTCCCCCACGTGGGATCGAACCTGCAACCCAGGTGTGTGCCCCTGACCAGGCATTGAACCCCTGACCATTCGAGCACAGGCTGGCCTGGGCGTTGTTCATTTTTACCATTAACTACTTGAGTTCCAACCACCTGCAAGCTACTATCTTAAGTCCTATGAAGACATGGAAATGAATGGACTCAATTTATAATGTCACTAAATTACAATCTAATGGAGACAAGATATATATTTTTAAGTAATTTTAACACAAGTCAGAAAGTGAGAGATGTAAACTAAAAGCGTGTTTCCATTTCTTTACCAGGAGAGCCTCCAAGTTACCTAATTTTGCTCCCCTAAATTCCTCACCTTAGTTCTCCTCAGCTCTCCCTGGATGCCATTGTCCATGATCTTCACAGTTATCTGCCCATCTGACACTTCTGGTCGAAGGAAGGGAGGTCTGATTACAATGGTCTTCTCTTTCTTTGGTCTCCCCAAATACCTGAGTGTTAAGAATAAAAAGGCTTTCATTCATTCATTCATTCATTCCAATGTATCTACTGATTGCCTACCTTGTGTAAAACATTTTTACACAATAAACAGTCCAACCAGGCCAGTGAAAAGATCAATATTGAACAGATTTGATTCCATGACTGTAATAAGACTAGGCCTTTGGGCAGATAGCTAGCTCAGGACACTCTGGAGTAAATCTCAACTCTCAGAGGAGAGTAACCATAATACCTGATGACTATCAACTGAACTCATGGTGTCCACTAAAGGATGGCATGTCTTTCCCATGTAGGTACTTCCCATTCTAAGAGAACCCTTCCTAATGGCAGTCTCCCATCAGACCTTCTGGCACGAGAAGCAGCCCAAAGGAGACAAAAGTTATAATGAAGGGTGAACAGCAGACCAAAGGGATATAGATGTACCTGGGTGCTGGGGAACTGCAGAGTACACGGCTGACATTATTACAGCAGCCATTGGTGAAGGGGTTCACACCTCCCCGGAATTTACCCGTAACCTAGGAGGAAAAAAGAGCCAGAGCAGTCAGACAATGGGTCCCTGACTTCCAAAGACCAAAACACAAACCAATGAAAAATTATTGTATACCCACTATCTGGGAGATACAAAAAAAAAAAAAATGAGTAAAACACAATCCTGCCATCAACCAACTTCTACCTGGGATAGCTAAGAATGGCAACTCTAGAGTCAGTGTCCTCAGTTCAAATCCTAGGTCTTCTTCACCATAGCTATCTCACCCTCAACATCAGTTTCCTCATGTAAAATGGGGATAAATAGCTCTCTGAATATTGAAAACTAAAATATACAAAATACCAAGCAAGCAAGGTTAATTATGCACAAAAATAACTGTCTTTAAGCAGCACTATAAGCTTCTTGAGGGCTGACGCAGATCTTTTATTAAGCCTCTCTAAGTTCGGAGCCCAAATTGTCCAGTATAAGTGGACATTCTGTAAATGCTAACTGGAGATGGCTTCTATTCTCATGTTTGCATGAGGAAATTGGACACTACCTCATAAAACATATTTAGGGGGCGGGGCAGAAAATAGAGTATTTAGGTATCCATTTGTAGAAGCACAGGCTAAACACTAATCACAGGACTAAAAGACAAGCCCTCCTCTGCAGAGGTCTCCCATCACTTCTTCCTGTACCTGTTCATTGGTTGTGCGTCCCCGAGCCACCAGCACCACATGAAATCCCGTGAGGCCAGCTACAGGGATGAAGAATAAGCCAGCCACACACATCACTGCCATCCTGAAGCCAAACAGTCAAGGAGAGCAGAGCAACATGATCTCATCTTCTCCAGCCCATACTGTAGCCATCTTCCCTTGAGCCTTACTACCACAGGATTCAACCTTCCTCATTCTTCCCCCTCCCAATCCCACCACCAAGCCTTAAAGGATACGTGACAGCCGTGCAGACCCCTGAGAGTTCCTCCACGTGGGAGAGGACATAAAGGAGGCCAAAGCCAAACACACCCATAATGTGCACTGTCAGGGAAAGGAGGAAGAGGAAGAAATAACGGTAGTTCCGGCGACCAATACAGTTGTTCACCCAGGGGCAGTGATGATCAAATTCCTAGGGGCAAAAAGAGAGAATGAGAGGCATCCTTGGACCACAGCACTAGATCACTTTTCAGTCAAGAAGACAGACAAATGGCAGAACTTAACTGTTGTTTTTATCTATGGTTATGCTAATCATTTAGTTGCAACATTAAAACAGGAAACAGGATCAAGCAGTTTATCTTGTTCTACCAGTCTCACAGGAAGACTTCCCAAAGGTTGATGATCAAAGACCAAAGGTGCCTCTCAAAGTTTATCCTATGTGACCAAGGAACTCTGAAACGGAATAATGTCAGAGGCTTTGCAAAAATATCAAGATTCTTGAGAAAAGAGGCTTGAAAGGAAAATCTGATAGGCAAATGCTTACAGCTACGTAAAAACTGATTGGGAGGAAAAAAGTAAAAAATAAAAGGGCCCTGGCCAGTGTGACCATCCTGGGCATGGAAAGGTTGCCAGTTCAATTCCCAGGTCAGGGCACATGCCCAGCTTGTGGGCTCCATCCCTGGTAGGGGGCATGCAGGAGGCAGCTGACCTATGTTCCACTCTCACATGGATGGTTCTGTCTCTTTCTCCCTCTCCCTTCCTTTCTCTAAAAACCCCCCCAAAAAAACACAAAACCTTAAGTAAAATGAAAAGGACACAGGAAGAAAAATATAACTAAAAATTAAATGCAACAGTATGATGATGTAAACACAAGAGATAACACAAAGCCAGGACACATAACCAGAAAGATGACCCAAGGGAAGGAAGGCTAGAGCCATGAATCCTGGTGCTGGGAAAGCCTAGGGCACTTGGGGTCCCTCCTGTAACATAATATTTGCACTCTACCTCTCATGTACACACTACCCACATAGTTAGCCAGGACTGTATTTCATGCACAGGATTCAATCTTTACTCTATGAGACAGAAAATCACTTGGGTTAAGCATCAAGTGACCCCACTCAGGGTTCTTACCTCCACACAATTGTCACAGACACTGCAGTGGGAACATCGAGGAGGACGGTAGAATCGGCAGGTGGCACACCATTTCATACGCACTTGGATGCCCTTGATTTCCACTGTTTTGTAAAGGGGAGCTCGGAAGTCATCTTCCTTGTCTTCATCCTCCTCAGCTGCAGAGAGGAAAGTCAATAAAAAAACAACTGTGCCAAAACTGTACCAAGCATTAGGGATGCAATGATATTTAAAATATGGCCTCTGCCTTCAAGGAATTCAAAACTAATGGGGGAGAGACTACGAATTAGTAACTAATACTGTGAGATCAGCTCTTTATACAACATTATTGGAACACAGTTGAAGAAGCAATTTATTCTGCACTGGGAAATGAGGTTCAAGAGAATATGACTCGCCCGGCTGGCATGACTCAGAACCAGAAGGTTATAGTTCAATTCCCGGCCAGGGCACATGCCCAGGTTGCGGGCTCATTCCCCAGTGTGGGGTGAGCAGAAGGCAGCCAATCAATAATTCTCTCTCATCACTGATGTTTCTATCTCTCTCTCCCTCTCCTTTTCTCTCTGAAATCAATAAAAACATTTTTTTTAAAAAAAAGAGAAAATGACTCAGAGGTGGCTGTGATATGGATACACTTATATTCCCAGTTTACATACTATAAATTTATGTAAACTAGTTATCTCTGAGCTGTGAAATTATAGGTGATACTTGTCTTGTTTATACTTTCTATATAATGAACATACACTATTAAAATGTTTATATTTAAAATTTTTTAATGCTATTTATTTTGAAATCTCTGATCCTTCCACACCATCATCTATCAGAAGTGAGTTCTTTATTTTTTTTAAGTACTATATAGTTATTTGGTTACTCTTATAACTTAACTAGAGGCCCAAGTGCACAAAATTCATGCACTTGGCGGGGACGGGGGCGTGTCCCTCAGGCTAGATTGCAAGAGGGCATAGGCAAGGCCAGGGGACCCCACCGGTGCATGATCAGGCCAGGGAGAGATGTGGGAGGTTGGCAAGCCTGGGAGGGACCAGGGGAGGGCTCCAGGGCGTGTCTGACCCATCTTGCTCAGTCCTGATCGGCCAGACCCCAGCAGTAAGCTAACCTACCAATCGGAGCATCTGCCCCCTGGTGGCCAGTGCACATCATAGCGAGCGGTTGAGCGGCCTTAGCACAGCATTAGCATATTACGCTTTGATTGGTTAAACAGACAACTGGACGACCAGACACTTAGCATATTAGGCTTTCATTATATAGGATACGCAGTGTACCTATTCATACAAATGTCTTTCCTATCTTCCCTTCATTTGAAAGCAAGGACCTTTAAAAAAAAAAAAAATCACCCCTAATGACCATAATGTCTTCCATATAGATCAGTGACTTTTTTTTTTTTTTTTTAATTTAAATGTTTTATTGTTTAAAGTCTTACATAAGCCTCCTTTCCCCCCAATGACCTCTCCCCGGCCACCCCCGGCCACCCCCACCCACTACCTCCAGAAATTTTTTTTTTTAATATATTTTTTATTGATTAAGATATTACATATGTGTCCTTGTCCCCATGTTATCCTCTACCCCCTCCACCCGCCCCCCCCCCCCGCTCATGCCCTCACCCCCCCGTTGTCCATGTCCATTGATTAGGCCTATATGCTTGCATATAAGTCCTTTGGTTGATCTTTCCCCCTTACCCCCACCCTCCCCTACCTTCCCTCCAAGTCCCGACAGTCCAATCAATGCCTCTCCGTCTCTGGATCAGTCCTTGTTCATCAGCTTATGTTGTTCATTATATTCTACAAATGAGTGAGATCATGTGGTATTTATCCGCTCTCCAGTTCCATCCATGCTGTGGCAAATGGTAAGAGTTCCTTTTTCTTCTTCCTCTTCTTAAAGAATACCTTTCAGCATTTCATATAATGCTGGTTTGGTGGTGATAAACTCCTTTAGCTTTTTCTTATCTGTGAAGCTCTTTCTCTGACCTTCTATTCTGAATGATAGCTTTGCTGGATAAAGTAATCTTGGTTGCAGGTTCTTGCTATTCATCACTTTGAATATTTCTTGCCAGTCTCTTCTGGCCTGCATGGTTTCTGTTGAGAAATCAGCTGACAGTCGTATGGGTACTCCCTTGTAGGTAACTGACTGTCTTTCTCTTGCTGCTTTTAAGATTCTCTCTTTATCTTTTGCTCTTGGCATTTTAATTATGATGTGTCTTGGTGTGGTCCTCTTTGGATTCCTTTTGTTTGGGGTTCTCTGCGCTTCCTGGACTTGTAAGTCCATTTCTTTCACCAGGTAGGGGAAGTTTTCTGTCATTATTTCTTCAAAAAGGTTTTCAATATCTTGCCCTCTCTCTCCTTCTGGTACCCCTATAATTCTGATGTTGGTACGCTTGAAGTTGTCCCAGAGGTTCCTTACACTATCTTCATATTTTTGGAATCTCTTTTCTTTTTTCTTTTTCGGTTGGGTATTTTTTGTTTATTTTGTATTTCAAATCTTTGACTTGATTCTTGGGATCCTCTTGTCTGCTGCTGGATCTCTGTAAATTATTCTTTATTTCAGTCAGTGTATGCTTAATTTCTAGTTGGTCCTTTTTCATGTCCTCCATGGTCTCACTATACTTATTGAGGGATTCATTAAATTTATCGGCGGTTTCCATAAAATTCTTGAAAAACCTTATAAACGTGGCCTTGAACTCTATATCCAATCGTTTGCTTTCCTCCATTTCTGCCATTTGTGACCTGTTTCTTTGTCTCCACATTTTGGCAGCTTCCCTGTGTTGATAGAGTGGCCCTGCGCACCAGGTGTCCTGTAGGGCCCTGTAGCTCAGCCTCCCCAGTTACCTGGGGTGGACACTCTTGGTGCCTTGGTTGTTGTAGAATCACTGGGAGGAATTGACCTCCAGGCCAATTGGCTGTGAGAATCAGCTGTGTCTAAAGTGGGAGAACTTCTGTGCTGAAGACACCCTTCTGGGGCAAGACTTGCTTCAGTGGGGCTTTGGTGCTCACTGAGTCTGCTCCGAGTGTGCCCCTTATGGATCTGAGGAGTTGCAACCTGGATGGTCCCCCTCTGACCACTGGGTACAGTGGCTCCTGGATCTAAGGAGGTGCTAATTCAGCCTCTGCCTGAGGCCACACAGCAGGAGCCACGAAGAGGCTCAGCTGTGAAGCAATGCAAGCCGCTGCCGGGCCTTGGGCCTTCTCTTGGAAGTTCCGGGTCTGCCTGGCTCGGCTGCAGTTAGGTACATTCACATGCAAAAGCCTCTGCCGCAGCCTGGGTGGGGCGGGGTCTCAGGGAATCAAAGGGCGGATCAGGGAGCTATGGCCGATTCTCCGCCCAGAGTCGCGGGTCTCAGTGTCCCGGTAACGGCTGCAAGCACCTCTGAGGGAAAGCCGCCTTCAAGTTCGCCTGCTGCTGGACAGACCAGCTTCTCCCCGTATGAGTCCTGGGTCCCCAGAGACTTCCTGGAACCGGAGTTCAGAGCAGTCGGGAGCTTGTGATTCAAAAAGACAGCCGCGTCCTCAGGTGCCACCCCCTTTCCTCGCGCGCGCGCGAGCCGCAGTACCTCTGCACTTCACCTCCGCAGCGCCTCTGGCTCTCAGCGTGCTTTTCTTTCCTTCTAGTTGTAGAATTTACACTCAGCCAGCCTTTCTGTTGTTCTGGATGATGTTTGCTCAGTCCTTTGCGGTAATTTTCAATTGTTGTGTGAGGCGACAATTTCCCGGTGTTTATCTATGCCGCCATCTTAGTTTCTCCTTAGATCAGTGACTTTCAACCTTTTTTATCTCATGGCACACATAAACTAATTACTAAAATTTTTTGGTACACAAAAAAATATACATTTTGCTGATGTGACAAAAAAAAGGTATACATTTGATTTATTCACACCAGATGGCTACTGTTGTGTTGGTTGTCATTTTTTTCATTTGACAATCTAGAAAAGAAGTCAGTGCCCGACTAAATAGTCATGTTTTAAAAATTCTTGCAGCACACTGGTTGAAAATCATTGGAATATATAAATATTTGACAAAAGAACACTAAAAGCTCATTAAAATAGCCCTACTTGTCTTTAGGAACTTAAAGTTCCTTTCATTCATTTGATACTTGAAACAAGTTACAAATGAAGCACAATAACACAGCTTTTTTTAACATATGAATTTCAGAAAAACTTCACCTCACCGAAGTTGCTATCCCAATTCCACTTGTCTCACTTTTACAAGATAACTTCACATTTGAGAGAAAAAGTAGGTGTCTTCATCAGTGTCTTTCTACTTCTTATTCTATCAATGACAGTTTTTACTCTCACCTCCTGTCTTAGAAACAGCTTACTACTTCTGTATGCAAAACCCTTTTACCATGCTCTTTACCTTCCATCCTACTGAGTTCAGCATTTCATGGCTACAAGCTTCTGCCTAGAATGTCCTTCCCTTCCATCCTCTACTTGGTAAAGTCATTCCTATCTACCATTAGCAGCATTTCCCAGTTTATATGGGCACATATTAGTGCACACTTTTCTATGGTCTCACAGAATCTTGTTCATGCCTCCATTACAATTTGTACCACACTGTTTTAACTGCCTAATTCATCTTGGATAGTATTGTGCCTAGCAATACCGCCCAACCAGTATGTTCAAAATATATTTCTGCTGAACAGATAACTGAAAAACAAAGAGTTGATTCAAAGTGAATCACATGGGTAGAAGTTATGACATACAGTAGAACTGAAGGCCCTGACCTGCTTTTCATCATTAGACTATAAAAGTATCTCAAAACCTTATCACTCAATGTATATGTCCAAAAATCATTCTTTTTTCAAAGGTAATGAGCTTCCAAAAAAGAGGAAAATCTTACCTCGAGGGAAAATCCCTGGGTCCATGAAGGTGGCCATGCTGAAGTTAGCCAGCACAAAGAGAAAAACAATCGCATTGTAGATGGGCACTGCAGGTGACACATAACGGCTTAGTCCTGGACAGCTGCACAGATAAGAAAGAAAATGAGGGGCTGCTTCTAACACTCTGGACACCAACCATATAAAGATTCAGCCCACATACTTATATTTAAATCTTGTGTAGTTCACCTTTGCTGTCTCAAATTGTATCCTTCCCAACAAATGTGTCTAGTTTCCCAAAGAAATGCTTATTTTAGACCAAGGAACAAGACTCTGACTCTCTCCTACCATAACCCGTTGCACTAAAGGTCTGTGTTCTTCAGATTCTTTCTTCCCTGGTGGATCTTTCCAATGTTTTAGAATCTGCTCTCATCTCCTTTTTAAAAAGGCACAAAAGTTAGGGACTGAGTATGTAACTAATACCAACTACACTCCCTTCTCTGTAGCAGCCTTGAGGCTTCTGGATCCCAGCCATGCCCCAGTGACCTGTACATTGGCCCAAAGCATGAGATACCACCTGCCTCTCTGGCTCCCACTCCCTCTGGCTTTGTATCGCTCTCAACTGCCTAACATTTCTTCACTGCGTCAGATATTCCTGAAAGTTTTATTGATCTAGAAACTAGTTCTCAAGGTGAAAAAATAATACCCAAATATGAATGGCACAAAACTACACTTCTTGAGGTCTATAAATGAAGCAGAAGAGTGGGGAATAAAGAAAAGATTCCAGGCCTGGCCGGGTGACTTAGCTAGAATGTCATCCCATGCACCAAAAGGTTATGGGTTCGTTTCTAGGACAGGGCACATACCTAGGTTTCGGGTTCAATCCCCGGTCAGGGTGCGTACAGAGGCAACCAAAGGATGTTTCTCTTTCTCTCCCTTCCTCTCTCTCTAAAATAACGCTTTAAAAAAATAAAAATAAGAGAAGATACCAGACCAAACCACCCTAAATCCTGTAGGTAAAAGAAGCTGGTTAAATATATCCACTATTTCACAGGGTCCAAATCAAGAAATATGCATAAGGTAACTTTTCTTGGATTTAAAAAAAGAAAAGAGTGCCCCAGTCCAGGATTGCACTCAGTTTCTGTCTGGATGTGAGTCTAGTAGGAATGCTGCAGGTGCTCCTCCTTTCTCTGATGATATTCTGGGAGCTGGAAGTTTCAGAACACAGATGTGCTGCTTGCTCTGTCAGTAATATCAAAGACCCTCTCTCCTGTCTCAGCTCAGGAAAAATTTCCCATTACAAGACAGTGGCTAAAGACCCTAATCTGCTTTGTGGCTGAGAACTTAATCTTTAGAATTAGAACAGCATCTGTCTTTGTCCCCTTTATCTAGACCAGTCAGAACGAAAGGAAGAATTCATTGAAGGAAGCAGGGGCCAAGAGAACATGACAGCATGAGTCTGAAGAATTCATCCACAGCAATCCTGGATTCTGTTGTGATGTGTCTCTACCAAAACAAAAAGCACAGCCCTGAGCAGTGACTCAAGACAGTTCATAGGAATTGAGCTCCTTAATGAGATATAAACTAATAAGAGACAAAGGTGATGGTCACAAAGCATCTTGACTACCACCATCTATTTATTCAAATTCCATTAAAATTTTTTAAGTAAATATTATGTGCAAGGTTTTTTAACTAATAAATATCAATTAACTCTTAGCTTCTCCTAATCAAAACTGGAAGATAATGAAGTAATGAAGGTAGAGTTAAAGGCACTGATTTCAAGGAAAAAACAGATCTCCCATCACAATTCTGGGTTTATTATCAGTCTCCTATGGAAGCCTCTTCCTCTGGGGTTTCTTTGGTTCAGAGAAAATGTCCCCCTATTTTGGCAGGTTTTGGGGTGAACTATAAGCAAGAAGGAAGAATCCTTACACAGCCCCACCTAAAGCCTGAGTTCCTAGCTTCTTGGGAGGGAGAGAAACTGAAAACCAGTCATCCAGGTCAGAGCCCCTCCCTAGTACTTAGCTGTCACTTTAATTTCCGCCTGGGAAGAGGAGAAAGGGTGACTCACTTGACTCCTACAGCCTGGGAAGATAATTAGAAGGGAAAAAGAAATTAAATCCTTAGAACACTGAGGTACCATGATTTAAAAGTCTCATTCCTAGAATTGGCCATTATGGCTACTGTGGCGGCCTCCTGAGCTTCTGAAAAATAAATAAATAAATAAGGGTATTTCTGTTCTTGAGGGAAACCAAGGTGAATGACAATGAGACATCAGCTACTTCACAGGCCCAAATGTCAGCCTTTCTGACCCCATTCTTTCTTCAGTTTCTGCATTTCCAAACAAAGAAAATCACACAATTTCTTCTGTATCTGGCCAAACTCTGGTATAATGAACCTTACCTCTACAACCTTCCTGATATCAGCCTATCCCAAAGTGTGAAAACCTAGAATCAAGTTCCAGGATCTGTTGCCAAAATAAAGCCTGTCCTAGAGTTGGCAGTTTCTAGAAATGATACAAATAAGTGCATAGGCAGTATTTGCTCCTAGATGCAAATCAGGGACCTACTGCTTCCAACCTAAACACTCTAGCTCAGAGAGCACCCTACCAAGGAGAGGCATGTGTGAGCAGTGCCTGTTCCTGCCATATCCCATTCTGTTTAGCTCAGGGAGAAGACTGCTGTTGCTATAGTATTCTGCCAGATCCTAGGTGACCACCCCAAGTAGCCTGTCTGAATCTGTTGCCTTTGATGGAAGGAGATGAGGGCTGAGCTGAGAGTTGTTGGGGCTCGTCCTCAGCCTATAGCAATAATCATAGTGCTCCAAAGCACAGGGAGTGGCCTCAGCCCAATAGGCTGGCTGACTGACTCACTGATGAAACTCCCATTCCTATACCAACCCAGAAAGAACAGGTTCTTCTGCCCACCCATTCAGCCCTCCTGTTTTCAAGCCAAATAAAACGGGGAGAGTAGGTTTCAATACCTACACTCTTGAAAAATCTGTTTCGTAGCCATCTCTCACACTTCCTATTATAAATGGTTCAATTCCTAGTACAAAAAAAAAACAAGTAGGACTCAAGAAGCTTTGATTTTAATTCTCTCTCAATCAATATTTTGCTAGATAGCCTAAGGTAATCCACAGAAAACTCTCCAAGTTCATTACTTCAACTACATAATACAGATATGAGACTGGAGACAAAGTTTGAAAAGACCCTAGAATTCTTTTTAAACCAGATGGCTTAATACTGGGCATTCACTGGCTAAAAGATACACACACACACAAAACACATTACTATTACAACAATCACAATTATCATTCCAGCTCCACCTTCATCCTTCATTCCACTTCCCCATTCTGAGGTACTGGACATTCAAGAACACTTGAAACACAGGCACTACCCTCCCTGAAGGACAAGTCTATACATTCCATCCATGCCTAACACATAGTTTGAATGTATGACTAGTGTTCCTTGTTAATGAGGAAAGGTTGAAATAAATACCCCTCTTCCTAACCCTGGGGATCAAGATTTCACAGGAAAACAATTTCTTCTCTTATAGGTGGGTAAGTTCCCCTTAAAACACTTCACTTATGGTGCATGTGTGTTACTCAGACTTTCAAACAGCTCAGTGCAAGACATAGGACCTGGACACTTACTCCTGGATGAGAAAAAAACGTGGGAAGGAAAAGGAACAACCACTGCTCAATTAATGCCCTAAATCACAAGACTGCTCCCACTCAAATCAGGTGCTAGCACCTCCAGTCATGAAGGAAAAAAAAACAGAGGGAGAGTCACTCCAGTTGCCCAACTCTCTGGGGTAAAAGGGTTGGGAGGGGCCAGAGGTAGAAACTGAAAGGAAGAAAGCTCTCTATGGATGGGACACTAGAAAGACCATCACAGATTTCTGCACAACCCAGACTTTTTTATCTTTCCTTCAGAGGACCACCTGCAGCAGAGATGTACCCCCATGCCCACCCTAACCGGCCTTAAAAGGAAACAAAATGAGCCCTAACCGGTTTGGCTCAGTGGATAGAGCGTCAGCCTGTGGACTCAAGGGTCCCAGGTTTGATTCCGGTCAAGGGCATGTACCTTGGTTGCGGGCACATCCCCAGTAGGGTGTGTGCAGGAGGCAGCTGATCGATATTTCTTTCTCATCGATGTTTCTAACTCTCTATCCCTCTCCTTCCTCTCTGTAAAAAAATCAATAAAATATATATTTTTTAAAAAGTTAACAAAATGAGACACTGGTTGACTTTACTCACAGTTTGAGGAGACTTTAGAGGATACAATTCAGTGTTTTATTTCAAAGACCCCTGCCAGGAGCCCTAAAAAGGTCTCAAGGCTCCTCAGGAAGACAAAGAGTATGCACCAAGTGGCTGGGCCTCTATGCACCTGCCTCAGCTGAACCAGACAGCTCTACCCTTATGTTTTATGTACTGGGGTTCCAAATAAGATCTCATTTGAAAAAGGACGTGGTGTTTAAATAACTGCTCTAGGCCAACTTCCTCATTATACAGAGGAAGAAACAGGTCCACAAAGTTTAACAGGCTTTACCAAAATCTGTCTCCTGACCCCCCAAAAGTGTGCATTCCTTTTACCTAGCACTGACCCTGCCAATCACAAAAGGAGGCTTAGTAAAGACAAAAAGGATACAGGCACATTATCTTAAATGCAGAGTCTAATGCCTAATTAGAAGGGGGAGGGTTACTTTAGCAGACACTCTCCTTCCCAAGCACTAAAAAGAGGAAAGAATTAAGACATGATCCCCAATAACTCACCTGCTTAGTTTTAGTACTGAAAAAAATTAGTGAATGAGGGGGATTAGGCTTCTCGGAGGAAGACCTGAACTGTTCTATTCAAGCTTCTCTGGGGCAAAAGATCACCATTTTTTGATGATCAAGCCCAACTGATAATAATCTGCTCATAGCTTTCCCTACTTGGCAGGTAAATTACATCTAGCCGAAACCGGTTTGGTTCAGTGGATAGAGCCTGGGCCTGCGGACTTAAAGGTCCCAGGTTCGATTCCGGTCAAGGGCATGTACCTGGGTTGCGGGCACATCCCCACTGGGAGATGTGCAGGGGGCAGCTGGTCGATGTTTCTCTCTCATCGATGTTTCTATCTCTCTCCCTTCCTCTCTGTAAAAAAATCAATAAAATATATGGAAAAAAAAAATACATCTAATCGGTTGAAGCCTATATGCTTCCACTAATAATGTCTGCCAGCTGAAAGGGACTTTTTCTCCCATTCCCAGTCCTCTAGGTCCCAAAGTAATTCTCACCTGGGGCCTGTACAAATGGTTGAAAAGATAGTTGTAGCCTAGGGAAGAGAATAGAAGGATGACAGAATTGTTACAGATTTAGGCCCCTATTTGGAACTGGTCCAAAGAGAGCCTTCCTCTTGTCTCTCTACTTGAAACCATAAATTATGTTCTAGGTTGTATACAGTTTTAAACAGAGGGTTCCCCAAGGACTTGAACCTCAAAAGGGATAGAATATGTAAGAGAACAGTTTTTTAGATCAGTGGCACCTCAGTCCAGATGTATGCTTGTAGAGGAACTGCTATGGTTAGATGGAGAGGAAGAGTTGAGAATGTCAGAGGTTCAGGGTGTTTATGTCTCCGCAGATGGGCGAGGAGACTCTAGCGAGGAAAAGAGAGCCCAGAAGTTGGTCCTGAGGAAAGTGCCAGGGGGAACTCTCACTAGGACTTAAGGCTTCTAATTTTGGATTAGAGGCAGTAATTCCAAAGAAAGTCAATATTGTCCTCCAAAATTCTTTTTCCTCGGGCTATGAGACCATAGAATAAGGAGGACTCCTACTTTTCTGGCACCAGGGAATGGAAAAGTAGGTTAAATAGTTTCAACTATCAGTTGAGAAAATGTCTATGTCAGGACAACAATTTGTGGCAAAACTGGTATAACCAGCCAAGCACTTCAATGTTTCCAGATTAGCAAAGAGCAAGGATTCTGCTCAAGAACAAATGGGTTGAAAGAGAGAAACCACTTAGTCCCCTGAATTTCCAACTTCCCCCAAAGCTTTGACCCTTGAAGGAAGATAGAACCTCCCCAATTAAGCAGGTCTGAGGGTGTCAAAGTGGTCTTATATATATCCCTCCTGACACAGCACCACAAGGGCTACAAGGATACTAAGATCCCATATAAATGTCCCATGGTTAAAATGTTGATTCTACCTACCCATAATAGCAGAAACCAAAATAAGGATGACACTAAAATTCCCTCCTCCTTATTGGCAGTCAATGCATGAAGAAGGGCAGAACACTGAACATGTTGAGACAAAGATTATAAAGACCAGAGACGAGCAGGGCTGCTCTAGATCCCTGAAGGATTCTACAGGTAAGTTCAGGCTGGAGAGCCGGGGGCAAGGAAACTATGACTTCTACTCATCCGAGGAAGAGGTGAGAAATAGGATCGTGCTTGTACCTTAGGTAAAAGATCTTTCCCTTATCAAAAAACTAAGAGCGCTCGCCCTAACCGGTTTGGCTCAGTGGATAGAGCGTCGGCCTGTGGACTGAAGGGTCCCAGGTTCGGTTCCGGTCAAGGGCATGTGCCTTGGTTGCGGGCACGGCCCCAGTAGGAGGTGTACGGGAGGCGGCTGATTGATGTTTCTCTCTCCCTTCCTCTCTGCAAAAAAATCAATAAAATATATATTTAAAAAGAGTAAAACAAAAAAAAACAACTAAGAGCCCTAGACAGTTTGGCTCAGTGGACAGAGTGTTGGCCTGTGGACTGAAGGGTCCCGGGTTCGATTCCAGTCAAGGGCATGTACCTAGGTTGCTGGCTTGATCCCTGGCCCGGTCAGGGCACATGCAGGAGGCAACCAATAGATGATGTTTCTCTCCCTCTGTCTCTCCCCTTCCCTTTTACTCTCTCTAAAAATCAATGGGAAGATATCCTCGGATGAGGATTACCAAAAACAAATAATTAGCCCTTGCTAGTTTAGCTTAGTGGATAGAGCATCAGCTTGTGGACTGAAGCGTCCCGGGTTCGATTCCGGTCGAGGGCACATGCCTGGGTTTCGGGCTCAATCCCCAGGAGGCAGCCAATCAATGATTCTCTCTCATCATTGATGTTTCTCTCTCTCTTTCTTTCTTTCTCCAGTTCCCGTCAAATCAATAAAATTTTTTTTTTTTTAAATAACTAAATAGAAAGCACCACTATTACTTTGCTGACCCATATTTTTTAGAATTCCTTATGGAATAAGCTCAATTTGAGAGGTTTCCCTCCCTCCTTTCTCAGATTTAATTCCTGTTCACTATTTCTTCCCATAATAGTAATTGCCAGCAATTCCTGCTTCATTCATCCTTCAATGAGTCCAAACTGCTTTATTCCTCACCACTTCATTTTCCTCTTCCCAGCAACCTCCCATTGCTCTAAATAGCACCTCACAATTACATTTAAGCCTGAACTACAGCAAAGTGAACTCCCCAGAAATATCTACCATGCTCAGATTGTTCCAAGAGCTACAACTAGAACACCAACTCAATGCCTCGACAGTTTAAGGCTCAGAAGGCTGATCCATGTTAATTATAAACAGGTAACAGCAAAGACGTTTCCCAGATGGTTGACAGTTAAAATACTGGGGAAAAGGGGAAGAATAAATCAGTCTCCTCCAATAACAAGCCAATGAACAAAGTCTGTATATCCCAAGTGGGAAATCTTTTAATATCAACTGTATTTCCTAACACAACCAGGGAATGGAAGAATTGCTGCCATTCCCTTCAGCAGGAACTAATATAAAGAAAGTCTTCTAGGACTCTCCTCCTAAATAAAATTTGCGTTCACTTCCCATTGGCTTTCACTCCTTAAGTAACACTAAAAGCTAAAACTCTCTCAATGGTATATCTTCTAAATCAATTCTGAAATTCTCCAGTACTCGATCATCTAGTGATGGAGCTAGGTAGGAAAATATGAGCATCTGTGATTCCAGAGGAAGGGAGGCAGGGGAAGGTAGAGGATTCAATGGAGTAAAATTTATATCATGTTTCTGGGATTCAGATTTACCTCTATCAGACATCCAACACCCAGTCGCTTGGCTTTGAAAGCAAAACTCAAGAGAAAAACTAGCCCATCACCTCCCATGGAGTGCCCCCAAATACCACTGCTGGGGGAAAACTCACGTAAAGGCAAAGAAGAGGGTCGTAGCTCCCACTAAGAAGATGGCGGCTGCTGAGACCGGAACATACTTGCTGGGTTTGAATCTCTTTCCAGACTCTGCGGGCATGTTGGAGGTCTGATGGGAGATCTGCCCTGCCGCATAGCCCAGGCCCACACAACGGCAGAACAGACAAGAAAACGGGATGAGGGCAACACCGGAGATAAGAGCACAGGACACCAGGGAAAGAGAAAAATTTAAATTATCACCCTTCCCCCTCCCAAATGAAACCAAAGGTCAAAAGATCTCAAATGAAGGAGAGCATATGGGAGGGGGAAAGGTGATTCCAAATAATGAATAACCACCTCCCCAGAACGAGGCAGGAGACTAAGAAACACAACTTGTACAATTTGAAAACTGGAGACAAACAAGAGACTGTACACATGCAAATGGTTGCAGGTAGAGAACACAGGCAGTCAGACAGATCAAGGAATAGCTCATGGATGGAGATAAGTCTTCAAAAGGAAAGAAGGGGCGAGTATCAGGGTAGGGCAGAACACTTCGGACAAGGAAAAATTCTTCGGAAGAGATACTGTAGTACCTCCACGACTACCACACTTCCACAAAATGCGAGCTTCACCCGGAGGTGTGCCCTGTGCTTCTATTTTAATCCAAGGAGGAAACTGGGATTTTCAGCGTTAAAGAGAAACTGTTTTTACTGTAGTCCTTGTCTCTTTTAGGCAGTTTTCTCAATGCCACCACTCCCACACCTTGACTTCAGGGCTTGTAGTATGGCAATGGTGGTTTAATTTTATTTCTTTTCTCTTGATGGCTAAAGCTGGGCAGCAGCTGTTACAAGACTGAGTTGTAATCCTTTTCTTTAAAGGGGGAGGGAAAACAGAAAGAGCAAGCTTGTCTGTCTTCAATCTCTTGTTGTTATTCTCAAGCCCTTTTAGGGCTCCGTTTTCTAGAGAGTTCATGCAAAACTAAAGGGAAACATAAAATCCCTGAGGCCATGTTCTTCCCAATAAGCAAAATTAAGATGGAAAAAAAAAAATCAATTCCACTCGATACTTTTTAAAGATTACTGTGAACGAAAGTAAAGTTCCAAAGAGGTCCCTGTTTCCAGGTTAGTGTGTCTGCTCTTTTGTCTTCAATCTTGGGCTGTTTGAATGCAGAGTCCAACTGGGTTACAGTGCCTCACCTGGAAAAAACAAAAACAAATATATTTATCAAAAGAATTCTTTCAGGGCATTTCTTACCATCATCAAGGCTCAAACCCCATAGACCACTGTTTAAAAGTGCCTTTTGAAAGAAAGATTAGTTTCCACTTCACTTACGTGTCTGATGGGCTCTTACATTTACATTCTAAATGCTGTTCATATTAGAAAGAGAAGAACATGGCTTCACCTGGCCTAAGGTCATCAAAGAACTAGTTCTTGTAAGGGGGCCATCATACCTGACACAAATAATAACAAATATCAAAATCTAAAAACAAACAAGGGCCAGCCGTGACGAGCAGTCCTAGACAAGAGATTTCTCTTTGGACAAGGAATATTTCTTGCTATGAAAAGAGAAAAAAATAACCTCAAAACTAGGGCAGTAAGTCTCATTTCCTTACTGTGTATGTGTTCGTGTTCTCTCTCTCTCTCTCTCTCTCTCTCTCTCTCTCTTTCTCTCTCTCTCTCTCTCTCTCTCTCTCTCTTTTAGTTATAACCCTGAAGAGGTAGAAGCTGAATATTTCGTCTTCTACAGTAACACATGAAAGGACCTGAATGAGAAATGTGCTTGCACTGAACGGTGAGATGCCCTCTTTAGAAAACTGAGTCAACCCTAGGGGCTGGTCCTTTTTTCCCAATTCAATAGTTTTTTTATTCCTACATTGGTCTATTAGGAAGTCAACTGAGCCCCACCTTCCTCAATATGATTAAAAGTAACAATTATTTCTGTTGATGGTAGTAGCAAAATAACACTAGCATTTTGGATTTTATAGGGTGCTTTTCATCTAGTGATCTCAAAGCACTTAACTCACATTATCGGAGACAGTCCCTTATCCCACCCCGTAAAATTGAAGGCTAGAGAATGCCTGAGGCTGTTCCACTGAATCACTTGAGCAGTCAAGTTCAGAGCCCAAGAGTTCACATGCCCCTTTGCCAACCCAAGCCCTTTCTGTCTCTTTCTCATCCACTATACTACCTGCCCAGTGATGACAACTGGAATCTGCAGACCAAAAATTTTACTTGTTAGAATTTAAAAATAAAAGCTTTATCACACCCAAGTGATCTAGGATTTCCCTTAATACCAAGGCAGAGATCAAAGTATCAGAAGATTCAAATGAAATACAAATGTGCCCTGGAATTTATTACTTCCTCTCTTACCTGTGGCATGGAAGGCAAAGGAACCCTTCTTCAAAAAAGATGCATTGTCTCTCTTTAAAAAAGTGTTTTAGAGGGCCAAACAGCAATATTAGAAGTGAACACTCAGATAGTACAAAAAATTGTTAACATCCTAAAAAATTTAAATCCTCTCTAGTCCCTAATTTATGATTATTTAATTCTCAATTTCCTAAAACAATCAAATCCCAACCTTCTGAATGTAGGCCTACATAACTTTGTTAACAATGAAAAGCAAATTCTTGACTTGCAGACAATACCATTAAGCTTTCCCCTCAAAACCCCAAAGATTAAAGAAAAATGGGAAAATGTACTGTTTATATTTTATCTAGAGCAGGATATAATTTAGACAGCATATGGTATTTCAGATTATATTTTCTAACAGAAAAAAAAGTAACTTGGGTTAATACTGCCACAGTAATGCAGGATCATAAAAGGCCATGCAAGTTTGGGAGCATTATACTGAGAAACATCTGAGATGTTTGGGGGATATACATTACAATGGACAAGACATAACCCAAGAATTTATTGGGTATAATAAAGACATACCAAGGCTTAGCAGAAGGATGTGGGAAGTAAGGATAAGATTGCAGGGTGAGTGTGTTTCATCAGAGCCAATAGTCTGGATCCATAATAGTATGAGGTGTACAAGCCATGTGTATGACACAGGCAGAGTAATTTATGGAATGGAATATGTATATATGAAATAAACTAGAGAATATGTGCTTGAAAGCTCTAATAAAAGTTTAATAAAAGGACCTCCTTAAAGGGTGAATGGATATGAACAGTACCAGTAAAACACAAGTATTGTTTGTTGAAACAAAGAGATGTAACAGTACAACATAGTAAATCTAAATACAAAGTAATCAAGGTCTCATGGAATAATCCACATGGCAAGATAGCTGAAAAGTCAAGCAGAAGTTTAACATGGGCGTTATCATTTACTAAGATAGCAAAGTACACGGGTATATAATTCTTGTGAGCATTAGGTGGGTTTTGAAGAATGGGTGATAATGAGCATTCTGAAGAGATTTGATACAGGACAGAGGGATACTGGGATAAAAGGATAGAAATGCGGATAGAAGATCAACCTAGCCAAGAAACCATTAATCAGGAAGTGAAAAATCCAAGACAGGAAAAGGGTCTACACTACAATATAACACATATCTGATCTTATACCTTTCATAACTTTAGGTCACTTTCTTACTTCTCATCTAAGTGTTTTCATTCAGCCAAGTGGATAGAACATCTTCCACTTCCTTGTCCCATAAAGAGAGAGATTCCTATTGGTAAAATTTAGCAAATACATCTGAGCTCCGCTTGTATTAAGTACAAAGTACTAAAAACACGAAGCACCGGCTGGTGGGAATGAGGAAGCGGACAGACGGGAGCAAACAGGTAAGAGGATGAGGCTTGAGCCAAAATAAGTATCAGCGGAGTGGAGCGGGGGACCCGAACCGGAGGGAGGAAAAAGGGGAACAGCACGCAGTCCCCTCCCAGAAGCTGAGCGAGGAGAATCACGGTATGGGGCAGAGCTGACCGAGACAGGAGGACGGAATTCACTGGGCAGGGCCCACTGGGGCTGCGGGAGACTGCGGAGCCCAGCGGCGCAGGGCCGGGGGCGGAAGGGGCGGCGGCTGGGCACCAGGCGCCCAGGGGGACCGGGGTTCCGAGGTAGAACCGAGCGGCCGGCACTAACCCGTTCTGAGCCCGGGCGGCCGTGGATCCCCGGCCTCTGCTCGTCGTCCGTTTCCGGGGCCCACGGGTCCCGCCGCAGTTGGATGACCCGGCCCGGAGGAGCAGTGGGGCCTCAAACCACCTCCCCCTTCCAGGTCCCCCTTCCCTAGAGGTCACTCTCCCCTCCCACCTCACTGGCCCCGCACTTCCGGTTCCGCAGGGGCCGGTGTCCCTGGTACTCACCCCCGGCACGGTTCCCGTCACCGCTGCCGTCGTTATCGCGGCCGCCTCTCGGCAGCGCCGTCGGGCCTCTGAGAGGCAGCGCGCGGCCCCCGCACGCTCCACGCCCGCCCTGCTATGCGCGCTCCCGCACAGTGACGCTCGTCTCCGAGCCGGCGCGCGGCCGTTGCCCTCAGTGCCGGGTCTCGAACCCTCCCAGCGTTCCCATTGGCTCCCTGTCCCGGGCGCGCGCGACGTCTCGCGCCGGGCACGTTTCTCTCATTCATGCGGCTCTCGCCGCCGCGCCCGCCCCCGCTCACTCTCCCATTCACCCATAGCCCCGCCCCCACCCCTCTCCAGGCCGTGCGCGCGAACCCCGGCGACCGCAGCGACCTCGCGTTCTGATTGGCTGCAGGGGCACAGCGCCGTACGCGCGCAAGACAACGAGAACGCGCGCGCAAGGCCGTCGGGTCCCGCGGGCGACTGGGAAAAGGGGGTTGGCGTCCTGCGCAGGAGTCGGAAATGGGGAAGTGGCCGGGGGAGTCTCCCCTTCTCCTTGTCCTACTTTCCCTGCCTGCTGTAAACAAGAAGGAATCTTCAGGAGTAAAAAGTAGTTATACGTGTGTTCTGGGAGAACTCAAAAGCCAGCAGCTGCCTTCTGGAGTTCGCCAAACCCCCTCCACGTACGTTGGTACAGTCCAGACAGGCTTCTAGGAGAACCAGTCGCCTGTAGAGGCCCCGCCGTCTTCCTGCTTTAGCACCTTCCTTCATTGGCCAAACTTTTGGCGACTAAATAGCCCTCCTCTTCCCCCCACCCCTTTTTTTTTAAATGGCGAAAACTTTATTTAAAACCATCTATCAGCGGTTCTCAACCTGTGGGTCGCGACCATCGGAAAACACATATAACATATCAGGTATTTACGATTCATAACAGTAGCAAAATTACAGTTATGAAGTAGCAACGAAAATTTTATGGTTGGGGGTCACCACAACACGAGGAACCGTATTAAAGGGTCAAGGCATCAGGACGGTTGAGAACCACTGACTGATGAAGCAGTTCTCGGTCCAGCGGGTTTCCTGGTATCAGCAGAATCCCAGGAGAACGGAATGGTCTGGGGCTGCCGGTCCCGCATGGAGGGGGCGCCGGACTGGGAGAGCCCGTGAGGGGCGCAGCTCCAGCCAGACGCCGGGCATCAAGAGGAAGGAGGCGCGTGGAGGGCGCGCCCTTTGCGGAGGGGGCGGCCCCCCGAGTGCGGGCCTGCTCTTGACTCTAATTACCTCCGTTTCTCACTGCAGCACGGGAGTGGGCGCCGCATCCCTCGCCTCGCTGGGAGGAAAAAGTTCCCTAGAAAACCTGCGCCACGCCTGGCCTTAATTAGCCTCACACTGCTGTAAGGCCAAGGGTTCTCATTTAGTTCGAGGCCATTTCTCTTCTGAAAGCCCTTCTCGCTGTTACATAACACTCTTTAAAAACAAAAGTGCTCCACCAGCCACTTCCGAAGCCAAGGGTCCTCATCTATAAAGTGTAATTCTCAATCTTGCGGTCTGCCCTTGCGCTTGTGTCCAATGCTGCTGGTGTAACCGTGGTTTTACACTTCAGCACTAGGTAGCGAGGAGAAAGGTCTACCTTCTGTTTTCTGGGATCTAGTCTAGTTCCTTATCTGACCTGGCATATACCAGATACATCAAGTTCTAGTTTATTCTTGCTAAGGGCTCCAATCCATCTTTTATTGCCACACATTTCGGAGGGCTCTCCTTTTAGTGACAGTGTGTATTAAAAAATTTTATCACCCATTTTAGCTCAGTGGGTAGAACGTGGCCTGCGGACTGAAAGGTTCCGGGTTTGATTCCGGTCAGGGGCACATGCCCAGGCTGTGGGCTCAATCCCCAGTGGGGGGCGTGCAGGAGGCTGCCAATCAATGGTTCTCTCTCAAAAGGGATGTTTCTACCTCTTACTCTCTGAAATGAATAAAAATATTTTTAATTGTATCTTCAAAATTCTTTTGACCCTATGGAAGTAAAGTTATTACTGGGTAGCATTTTTTTTGTTGTTTATAGAGGCTTTTCTGTCAGGTTGATTCGTTTCCTTAGGAAGAAATCAATTTCATTTTTTTTCTATTGCCTATTTTTCTTGGATTTTAAAACTTCTCATTTCCCCAAATTCATAGATTAAGCATCTTTCTTTTCCTTGCAACAGTCTAGGAACCTGTAAATTGTTTTGTATCTTGTCTCTACAGTGCTAACTGTAAATAAAAAGTCGATCTTCCACCATCCAACCACACATTCTAAATTCCCCTGGGACACTGACTACTGGATGCCAAACTCTTATCTGGATGAGCACTAACAGTGGCATAACTACTATCCCAAGGTTTGGAGATTCCAATTTCTTGTCCAGTTTTCCCTACGAGTATGCAACGTATTTCCTGGAAAGGTTGTTGAATAGAACATAAGGTTTAAACTGCCAGCCATTTCTGAAAAGTATTGCACAGTATAAACCCGGTTAAAACAATGGGATATCTAGACAACCAAACTTCAAATAAATTACTTTGTATATCAAGAAATACCTTATAGGTGGGAATGCAGACTGGTATAGCCACTATGGAAAACAGTATGGAGTTTCCTCAAAATATTAAAAATGGAACTGCTATTTGACGCAGTGATCCCACTTCTAGGAATATATCCTAAGAATCCTGAAACACCAGAATGAATATATGCACCCCTATGTTCATAGCAGCACTATTTACAATAGCTAAGATCTGAAAACAGCCCAATTGCCCATCAGTAGATGAGTGGATCAAAAAGATGGGGTACATTTACACAATGGAATACTATGCAGCTATAAAATAGAAGGATTTCTTACTCTTTGAGACAGCATGGAGGGACCTGGAGAGTATTATGCTAAGCAAAAAAGCTAGTCAGAATAATATGCTAAGCAAAAAAGCTAGTCAGAATAAGACAAGTATCACATGTTCTCACTCATATGTGGAATCTAATGAACACAATAAACCCAGAGATACAGAAGCATGGAGTAGACTGACGAATCTCAGAGGAGGGTGTGTTGGGGTCCATCCCCAGCTGGTCCAGGGGTTCCCAAAGGTGTGGACGGAGTCGGCGAAGAAGGAAGGACACGGAGGCAGCCTTCAGTTCATCATGGTTGGGTTCTCCTCTCATTATCCTGTTACATCTATATTTATACTATTTGATCCTATAAGCATGCCTCTATAATTACATCATGGTATGTTTTGGGTCCTCCCTTAACCTTCTACAGTTCCTTGTTTCTTGTCTGACCTTAGCCAAAAATCCTGTCTCTATCTAGTTCTGTTGATTTTATCTTGTCTAGGTTAATCTCTGTGTTCCATTACAAGGGCTATTCCCAGGTCATTGCTCTACTGATAGGCTACAAGGAAGTGACTGAAAGAGATTATCCTACCCAGTAAAGGTTATGTCCTCCCAGCCCCGCTGCTTGCCTTCCCAGGCACTGCTCTGTGTCAGAGGGTCTCCAGGGGTATAGGCTTTGGTGCTTTCCCTGGTGGGCAGACACCTGGGGATGTGGGCCCAACAAGTCCCAAATTTATTGCCAACAGTCTTAGTCCAAGTTCTTCATAAGTAGTACATGGTATTTCTGTAACACTAGGGGGTTTCACTGATTTATCTTCCTTAGTCCTGTTAACTCAGCCGTGGGCAAACTATGGCCCGCGGGCCGGATCCTGCCCATTTGAAATGAATAAAACTAAAAAAAAAAAAGACCGTACCCTTTTATGTAATGATGTTTACTTTGAATTTATATTAGTTCACACAAACACTCCATCCATGCTTTTGTTCCGGCCCTCCGGTCCAGTTTAAGAACCCATTGTGGCCCTCGAGTCAAAAAGTTTGCCCACCCCTGTGTTAACTCCAGGGAAAAATCCTCACCTGGGGAAACAACCTTTCTCAGGGAGGTGGTCCTGTTTAAAACACATAGCACTAAGAGGGGGAACAAACATATGTCATATACGCCAGGTTCCTTGAAACATAAGCTGTGCAGATGTTTCTTCCCTGCAGCGACTGTGTCAAGCAGCAAGAGTGGACCGGCTTCTGGCAAGGGTGGGGGTAGAGGGTAGGGTGGAAGAGATTAACACGTTAAAAGCCCAGTCACCAGTGACTATACAGACACTATACTTTCTGTCCAGAAGACAAAATAGGCTGGACGCTTAACGTGTTAACTAAAAAACTTACATGCATATATACACAACCCACAAACACAGACAAGAATGTGGTGAAGGCATGAGGGAGGGTCACTGGAAGGGGAGGAGAGAGGACATTTGTAATACTTTCAAAAATAAAAAATGTAAAACAAAAAAAGAAATATAGTGTTTCTAGTATAGTTTACCTATACTTTTTCAAATAATCTTCACTTGTATTCCCTCATGACTATAGATGGCAAACCACAGGGTCATTTTTAGTTCAACTCACCAGTAAATAAAAAGGCAAACAACATGAACAACAAATACACATCTATCAACAAGTGAATCTAAAAATCAAGTGAATAAATAACCTGATGAACAGGGGGGAAAAACAAAAACAAAACAAAACAAAACAAACAAGGCAGATAAGAACAAAATGCTACCCTGGGGTTTAGATTCAATTAGAGAGAAATGACCTATCTTTTAGCACTAACCATCTATATTATAAAAAGCCAGTGGCCAGAATGACCAAACAACCAGTCACCAGGCGGTGCATTGATGGGTCCCTCGGTGGCTGGCGGCAGGAGGGACTCTGGGTCCCACACAATTTCGAGCACTGGGCCTCTAGTCTCTCTCTATTTAAATACTGCCACCTTCCCTCCTGTCCTTATGAAATGCCTCTGCTTGTGTTAAAGGACAGCTTCTCCCCTTCACTCCTGCAACTTCTTCTGAATTTTTCCTTTGACATTTTATTTTAAAAATGAAAAACATACAGAAAAGTGTCAAGAACACACCATGTCCATCATTAAATTCTCTCCCTCTTGAGTCTGTTATGCTGAGAGGCATTCTATCTAAAAACAAAACAAAAACAAAAAAAAACTAATAACTCTCTCTTGACTCCATATCACTGCCACTCCCTTCCTTAGCAAGCTTCTTGGAAGAGTTGTCTATAGTTGTTATCCATATTTATTCAGATTATATCTCAGTATATTCCAATAGGACTTTTATCCCCATCATTCCAAGACTACACTCTTCAACATTCTTGCTGAAATCCATGCCTCCAGATCATAGTCAAGACTCCTTTGCTGCCCTAACTGGTTTGGCTCAGTGGATAGAGCGTCGGCCTGTGGACTGAAAGGTCCCAGGTTCGATTCCGGTCAAGGGCATGTACCTTGGTTGCGGGCACATCCCCAGTGGGGGTTGTGCAGGAGGCAGCTGATCGATGTTTCTCTCTCATCGATGTTTCTAACTCTCTATTCCTCTCCCTTCCTCTCTGTAGAAAATCAATAAAATATATTTTAAAAAAAAAGACTCCTTTGCTAGTAGCTCCCATTATACTTCAACTCGTATGTTTGAAGTACCCTGAAAGTCCATCTGCCTTCTGATTTCCAGTCTTTAAGTGACTTCATCCAATACCACTGCTTTAAATGCCTTCTATAGGACAATAGCTCCCATGAACCTTCAGCCCTAACCCTCCAGATTCATGTTTCCAGCTATCTGTGTGGCATCTCCATATGGATGAGTAATAGCCCAAATTTAACAGTGCCAAAGTAGAACTCAATATTCCCTTACCCCCTCTAGGTTTCCCCAATCTCACGGCCAAAGTTGCTCAAGTGAAAAATGTAGGAATTATCATATATATAATAAGGGAGAGGGAGAGAGGGATAGAAACATCAATGATGAGAATCATTAACTGGCTGCCTCCTGCACACCCCCTACTACTGGGGATGGAGCCCAAAACCCCAGCATGTGCCCAGGAATCCAACCATGACCTCCTGGTTCATAGGTCAACACCATACTGACTGGGCTGGAATCACCTCTGATTCCAGTTTCTTTTCCTTATGGCTCCCATCAGCAAGCCTATCAACTTTACATCCAAAATATCCCCAGACAATCTACTCAACAACTCCACCTTTGCTGCCATACTTTTAATTCTCCATCAATTATCACATTGAAATTAACTTGTGTCCTTGCTTCTCTACTCTTGCCTCTTTAATCCATTTTCCACACAGCAATGATCTTTTCAAAATGTAACTCAGATCATGTCATTCCTGTTTAATTGTCTGCTATGGTATGAATGTCTGTCCCCCTAAATTCATATACAGTAGGTCCTCGCGTTATGTCAGAGATCCACTCCTACAGCGTGATGTAACGCGATTTTCGCCGGGAGTCGTAACCCACCTACATAAGCACCAACATCACTCACATGGAGCACATACCAGAAGTAATGAAGTGAAACAGTAAAAAAAATTTAAAGATAATAATTCCTGACCTTTACTTGTGGTAAATAATAAAAAATAAAAAGCACACATGTATATATGTCAAAATTACAGAACTTTTTTTATATATAAATAAATGGGAGATGGCGACATAACCACGAATCGACGTATGTCCAGTCCGATGTAACCCCAGGACTGTATTGAAACCCTAACCCTCAAAGATGACTGTACTAGGAGTGGGGCCTCTGAGAGGTGCTCAGGTCATGCATAAGGAGCCTCCATAGAGCTCCCTTACCCCTTCCAGTACATGAGGACACCGGCTAGTAGCTGGCAGTTAGCAACCTGGAAGAGAGCCTCTATCAGAACACAACCATGCTGGTGCCTGGATCTTGGACTTTAGAACTGTGAGGTTTCTAATATTTATAAGCTACCTAGATTGTAGTATTTGTTATAGCAGTCCCAAGGGACTAAGATACACGTCCTCACCCACTGTTTCCCACTGCTCTGGGATTACAAAAGCCCTAGATTATCTTGTCTTTGCTGCTCCCCTTGATTCACTATACTCCAGCCAAGCAGACCTTTCCGCCAGCAAACACATGGAGCTTTTTCCTTTGTTTTTCCACTGTTCCCTCCACCAGGATTTTGGCCAAATTTTACACAGCCATTCAAGTCTTTTTTTTTTTTTTTTAATCTCTCATATACTCTTTTTTAAAATAACTTTTTAAATATGTTTTTTATTGATTTTAGAGAGGGAGGAGAGATAGAAACAGCAATGCATCAACATTGATAGGCTGCCTCTTGCACATTCCCTGCTGGGGATCGACCCTGAAAACTAGGCATGTGCCCTGACCAGGAATCAACCAGCGATCTCTCGTTGCATGAGTCAACTCTCAACCACTGAGCCACACTAGCCATGCGCCATTCAGTTCTTAACTCAGGAGAGGCCTTTCCTGACCACCCCATTCTAACGTAGCCTCTCTGTCACTGTCCTGTAGCACCCAACTTTAAGTCTTTGAATAGCACTGACCTTTGTGTTTATTCTATAATGTAAGCTTCCTAAGATTTTATCTTGTTTCCCATCTAGAATGGTTCCTGGCAAACAGTGGGTGCTCAATAAATACTTGTGGAAACAATGAACAGATGAAGGGCATCAGATACTTATTCAGTAATCCAAGTTCAAACTAGGACCACCAAGCATTTGCAGGATATCAGAGAATGGGCTTTCCTGGTTTCTTACTACCTGAAAGTTCAATTTACACTTTGACTTAGATTCTGACTCCAAGCAAACAGACAATGGGAATGACAGTTGACGCTGGGAGAAAATGATCTCTGGGAAGTTATTAGATCTGAAATCTCATCCCAAGTTTATCACTAGCCTCTTTGGTTCCTCATAGTTACCCCTCTGCACTGAGAACAGAGTTAGCATCTATTTACCTGCTTAGCTTATAGGTGGGCTCTTTGTTTTCCTCTTTTCTAAGCATTCAGCAATAAATCATTTTAATAATCCTATATGATAAAGAGCTAATATGCAAATGGTCATCACCCCCTTGCGCCCTCACGCTGGGGCCGGGGGACCTGAGGCTGCATTCCCCACCCCAGTGCTGAGGGACCTGAGGCCGCACCTCCTGCCCTGGCGCCCGGGCGGGGCCGGGGGACCTGTGGCTGGGCCCCCCGCCCTGCGGGGCTTGACTGGGGTTGCAGCCAGCCAGGTCTGGGTCTTGCGCAATTTCGAGGCGCACATGGGTGGGCAGGACTTAAATGGGTCCCGCAGCACGCCCCAGACTCTGACAGGAGGGAGATTTTCATATACATTTTAGTAATTTTTTTTCATCTCTGACACTTCTATTATAGAGAAAAGGCAAATAGCAATATTAAAATATTTCCTCTAATTCCCTTTTAATGTGCACGAATTTCATGCACCGGGCCACTAGTGTTTCTATAATTCTTAGGGAGAAAAACAAAATTTAAAAAAATTATACCAACTTCTGTGATATGACAAAAATATTTATTAAAATTTTTTCCAAGTTTGAATTTTATTGTAAAGAGTCCTTCTAATACACTTGAACATCCTGGAAAAATAAGGTAACAAGTACTATATATAGCATATAAAGCAGTGATTTTTTTAAAAAAATGAGTCCACACAGTAACTGGTTAAAGAAATGGGATTCTCCAGGGCCTTAGAGAATTTGAAGTGGCACCTTAGGTGATCTAAGAAACCAATTAGTCTCATGGTTTTCCTTTTGGTTCAAGATTAGTAGTTAAGTTACCACCACCTGTTTTAAGAGGTAGAATATATGCTTTTTACTAGTCCACCATTTACTGGTCAGCCTGGCCTTAAAAGACTCTCCCTCTTCAGCCCATCTGTCTCTGTGATGGCCACACATCTCCATGCCCCAGGCAGCAAGACTCCCTGATCTTTATTTAAGATCCATGAACCGGATATCCATGATGAGAAGGAAGTTCTTAGGCAGTGGACGGGGGGCTGGAGAGAGAACGGTAAACACCTGATGCTCCAGGTCCACACTGGTCACCACGATGAAACCGGCCACACTGGTCTCAGAAAGGTTCTCCTCTGTGCCCTCAGCAGTGCTGACACTCAGGAGGTGGTGCACCATATCTCGGCCAGGGGTGACAGGTACTAGCTTCAGCTGATTGTCCTCCTGAGACATGCCCAAAGGCAAACAGGAGTCTGGAATGGTGGGTGCCCCAACTTTGTAGATTTTCACATCTGAAAATTTGACATTGAAGGCATGGGGATAAAAACAGCCCCGGAATCCATAGAAATACTCACGGATACGCTCATCCCTACATTCCCGCCGGAAATCCTTGGAGCGCTCCACCACACCCCCTGATTTAGGGAGCAGCACAGTACGCACGAAGTGAGGCAAGTCCCGTTTCAGTTCATTGTAAAGTCGTTCTTGATCCAGAACCACAACCACATCTACCTCAAAGGCTGAGGCTGCATGCACCAGGGCCTGGTAACCAGAGCCCTTGACCCAGCCACAGGTGTTAATGACACAGCCACTCACAGAAGCCCTTCGGTTCACTTCACACCTTTGGTTGAACACATCTGCGAGACGAGATGTAATCTGCAAAAGACAACCAAGGTGAGGAGAAAAAAACACAAAAAATGAACGAACCTATAATTATTCTGTCCCTCTTTAGAATAAGTACTATTAGGTACAAGAAAAACATTTTTAATGGCTATAGTTTTGACCCCATAACATGGATTTAATTTTTATGTTGCTTCTTCTGTCTCCTAAGTGGGAATTTAATAAATAACTTAATAGGTCCACAGAAACATTTAATAATCTGAGATTGACTTACATTTGAAACTGTCTTTTCTGAAATCATATGGGAATAATACCAGTGGAGAGGGAGCAAAGAGATGGCTACAGTTTTAACTAGCAAACTTTTGCACAGCTTCCTACCCTGATAGCAACCCTACCCTCCATCCCACCTTGGCTCTGACCTTATTATAAAGCTTGATGTTGGTGCCAGGAGTGGTGGAGCCAAAATGATACACCAGAGGGGCCTGGATGGAGAATCCTTCTTCAACATCTGCCGGCCGCTCAATGTAGAGGGCCCCCATGGTACCAGGGATAGACACAGAGCCCTGGCCCACATCCAGCTCCACGTAAGTGGGACGGCGGCCCAAACGCACTGCGTAGTTGAGCAACAGGCGGCACACTGTGGATTTGCCCACATCGGTGGGGCCCACTACCATCACCCGGGGGCCTCGCTCCTCTTCCTTCTCCGCCTGCCTCCGCATCTGCTCCAGAGCTGTATGAGTGTTGAGGTAAAGCAACATAGGGGTGTCCTTGGAGACATAAGCCACCTCGGTGCGGCCACTCAGCTGTACCGAACAGCCGTGCCAAGTGAAAACAGCTACCTTGGCACCAGCATCAAAGGTGAATTTCTTGTTCCGGGTCAGCTCTGTGCCAAAGACTTCTGCCATGCCAGCCAGCAGCTCCAACTGAACTGACTGAGACGCTTCCACCTCAAAGCGAAGTTCTGTTTCTCGCTCTAGTTCAAATTTAGTTGTTGGCTTCTTGTCATCATTGGTCTCCTCGCCCATCTTTTCTGGGTAGCTGCTGTGCCTAGTACACAAGTTAAATGTCAGATCTAAATACAAGTTAGAACTCTGTTCAAAATCCTCCAATGAATGTTTCCCCTGACCCTGCTTTATTTTTCTCCTTATCCCTGATCACCATCTGTCTACCCCACTAAGGTTGGGCATTGTTGTTTCCTGCTGTATCTCCAGTACCCAGGATAGGGCTTGATAAGCCACAGGCACCTCCGTACATACACCGAGCGAATGCATGACTGAGACATCAGAATAAAATTATAGCCCTAGCCGGTTCGCCTCCGTGGATAGAGCGTTGCCCTGCGGCCTGAAGGGTCCCAGGTTCGACTCCAGCCAAGAGCACATGCCTGGGTTTCGGGCTCAATCCTCAGTAGGGAGCGTGCAGGAGGCAGCCGATCAATGATTCCCTCTCGTCATTGATGTTTCTATCTCTTCCTCTCTGAAATCAATAAAAATATTTTTTAAAAAAACATATCTACAGTTTGACAGAACACTTGATCACATCACCTCATCGCTCCCTTCATCATCCCATAGGGATACTCGAGAGAAGGCAAAAGGTGCCCACTCCCCAACCCTCTTAGTCAACAAGAATCCGGACGCAAACCAGAGAATAGCAATGCTGGACTTAAAAAAAAAAAAAATTCAATATCCCGCTCAGCAACGTCTAGTAGTGTCTTCAGACAAATCAGTTGACCTCTCTGATACTTTTCCTCAGCTGCCAACGGGAGGCACTTACACTTCCTCACACAAAGTGTTGTTCTGGGGACCCGCCAGCAGGGATTGTTGGAGGAAAACAGCACTTCGTAAACTAGAAAACGCCGAGAAATAATCAGGAAGTTATTTCCGATACCAGACCGCAGCTCTAGGTCCCGCATCTGACCCAGATACGAAATCCGCCCAGGTCCCAAGGAGGCGACGGTTGCTTTCCTGAGCTTATTATCTTACCTGCACAGCCACTACCCGCAACGGTAAACCGAGAAGCCCTCCCGGGCAGGACCCGAAGCCCAACAGCAGCCGGGCTCGCCCGGACCCACGCCGGAAACACGAGCGGTTCTGCACTTGCGCAGTGGAGGAGACGCGGTCGCGCGATGCCCCTTGGGATATGTAGTTGTGCGGAAACGGCTGGGTGCCGTTGAGCTCGCGCAGCCGCCCGGCCTTCTGGGAGTTGTAGTTGCAGGACTGTTTTGATTGTGACGCAAAAGGTGGGCGGAGCAGCGACGGTCATCGTTCGCCTGCTGACTTAATCCGGGAGGAGTGGCGGTTACGCCCCCGCGCGGCCCGGACCGACCGAGGGGGCCAAGAGTTGCCCGAGTGTAGCGGTTGCGGACTCGCCACCCTGTTCTCGCTCATCCGCTGCCCGGGAAGGGGAAGGGGAAGGGGAAGAGCGGCGGGGATGGAGGGAGACTCACTGTCTAGGTCCCAAGATAGCCTGCTGGCTTAGGCATCTTCTCTCTGCATCCCAGGACAGCAATGCCTAGCAAAGAGATGATGCTCCCAAGTCAGCAGCTGAGTTGCACCTTTGGACATGGTCCAAGTGTCTGGCTTTGGTCTCCAAGAGACCTGCATTGGAATTCCAGACCTGCCACTATACTCACCAGCAACCACTGGACAAGTTCCTGATGTGAAATAAACTGGCCCCTAATTTGCTGTTATTTCAAAACACTGTTCTCAACTTCATACCCGGAAACCTAAAGACGGTTTACTATTAAAAATTCTGCCTCAAGAGACACGTGCTAAATGTGTGTCTTATTAAGAACTTCTCTCTTTCAGTGTTATTTTTCTATCAGATTCCAATTATATTTCATTTTGACTCAGAATATTTCTCATGGAGTGCTGCCCTGTGCGCATCACTAAAGTATGTAGTCACAGAACGTGTCCTCTAAGGAAAAAAACCCTGATTTCTAACATTCAGAACATGAAGTATCATAAAGGTAGGGGCTTACTGTACACAAAGGATTGCCTGTGGGTGGTTTGTCTTTCCACGTGTAAGGAGGGGGAAACCTTAAGTTAGGGAAATGTAATGGGAGACGTTGCTAGCTGAGTATGAAGAAAGGAACTCCAAAAGATTCTGGGGCTTAAGATAAATTCTGAAAACATCATGTGTGTTGAGTGATAGCACTCTCTGGTACCTTGAGTGATAGTACCAGAAGTTTGACATTGAGAGGGAGAATTGGGTACAGGAAAGAAAAAGAAAAAAAAGGGACAAAAAGGAGAAGAGGGGGAGGGGGAGGAGTAGGAGTAGGAGTAGAAGGAAGTGTTCTTGTCTACACAGCAGACCAGAAAGGAAATGTAAGTACTGGAGGAATATGAGGAACTATTTTTGAGGAAAACAGTGGGAAGTGGGGGAAAAGGTGAGTAGTTTTGGGGGTAAGGATTGAAAGTTTGGAAGCAAAATAGGTTATCAGTTTAACTCAGGAAAATAATAATCAAGGATTTAGCTGGAGACGAGATTGAAAAAGACCATGAGGACAGTGCTATTTGGGGGCGGGGGTGGAGATGACAGGAGGGCTTGCTGAAAGTGAGAAAAGAGAGTGTAGGCAAGCACAGATGCTTTAAATGTTGTGCCCTGACTCTGTGTTTAAGACGCAGAATGGAGAGCAGTCTAAAGGGGGTGGGGTGAGTTCTCCTCCCTAAATTCAGTTTGAGATAGCTATACAGTAACCAAATAAAGACGACCTTCAGATAATTGGGAGAAATTGCCTCAAGGGAAAGAGTGTGGAGGCGAAGAAACAGATTTAGGAGATACACTGAAGAGAAACAGGAGAGCATGAGCTTACATGGGGAGAAAATATGCAAATGGAAGACTGGAATTGAATTTTTGAAGAATGGTGAAAGATTAGTGGATACCTAATAGTTCACTAAAGAACTAATGCATCATAGTGAATGAATGAAATAATTAAAGTAAACCATCAGAGAAAAAACTGAGAAGTGAGGAAGGCATCCTAAGAAAGTGAGTGCTAAGGTAGGGCCAGCAGGAAAAAGGCAACCAGGAAAAGCTCAGGTTTCTCAGTGGATTAACCATGTGAGGTAGACTGAAAAAAGTGCTCATCTGTAAAGTGAGGATGACCATGACAGGATTAAATGAATTTACACCTGTAAAGCCCAGAGGACAGTACCTGGCACAACATATGTGTTTGCTGTTATTATAATAACTGGACTCAGTCTCCAAAATCCTGGGTTTGGGTCCTAGCTTGGGCAAGTTCCTTCACCTATCTCTCCTCCTTCATCTGGAAATAATAAAACTGACTTTACAGGGTGTCTGTGAAAGAAGATATCTGAAAGGGCTTTGAAAATGTGAACCACTGTACAAATGGATGGCATTTTCATAGCTGCCCCTCCTCAAACTGCAATAAAAACTTAAAAGCTAACATCAGATGCTTGCTTGTTACAGGCATCATGCTTAGTACCTTATGTGTATCATCCCAGTCAGTCTTTGTGGGAAACCGCCTATTGTCTTCACTAGCAGAGAGGTGTGGACAGGGAACCCGGAAGGCTGGTGACCCTTGAAGCCCTGAAAAAGTTCAGAGCTATGCACCCACTGTTTAGTCGAGACAATGGTAGCTGAAGCAACTTCCCCACCACATAGTCATGTAAATCCCTATTGATAAGATAGTCTCTGTGTTACCGGAACTTGCCTGCCTAAGGGCTGTGGGTGTATCCCAAACTAAATAAAAGGGAGAGCTAGGCCAGAGCAGTGGTAGTCCTCCCCCTACAGGTGAACTCCGGCCTGGCCCCCATTTCCCAAGTTAATTCTTTTCTAGTCTCCATTTTGTGTGCGGCCTTCTCCAGAGCCCAAACCCTGAACAGGTACCCTGAATAACGCGGGACGTGAAAGGGGCTACCAAAGGCGGGGTTTCTGGAGGAGATGATATTTTTCGTCTAGACTCTAGAGCGAAGGAGGAAAAATACACCGAGAAAAGGTGTGGAAAATTCACCGAAAAAAGGTGAGGGAAATTCACCTCACGCAAAAGCCCACGGACCAGCTACAGAATCCGGATCTGTAAGTAGGGTGGGAACGTCTTTTTCAGCCAGCCTAATGGGGAAGAATTAGAATTTTGGTTTGTATGCCTAAGGAATTAAAAGTTTCAGAAGGTATTCTTTTATAGTTTTTGTTTGATGTTGTAGAACATAACCCTTGGTTTCCTGAGGAAAGTACATTAGATCTTGAGTGTTTGGCAAAAAGTTGGCAGCAGAACAACAACAACAACAAAACTCACCTCAAAAAACTGTTTTTCCATGGGGAACACAATATTGCGTTTGCTAGAACCTTTTAGAGAGGCTGAGGAGGAGCCTCCTCGCCTGGTTCCCTCCACTCCTCCTAGAGAGGAGCGGGAAGAAAAATTGGAGGAATGGCCTTTATGGCCCCCTCCACCTACATGTCCTGATCCTGAAACGTTGAATTCGCCGCCAATAGGGCCGCCAGTAGAATCATCTATACAGAGAGCCATCAGAAAAGGAATGAAGGACATGTCGGTGGAAGAAAGGCTTGCTGACCCACAGCTCCCAAATCAGATAATAAGACACGATGAAAAAATTGATTTTCAAATGATAAAAGCTTTGCGAGAAAGCGTTGTTCAAAATGGTCCAACGGCTCCTTTCACAAGAGAAATTATGAATAATATTTCTGAAGCATTCTTAGCTCCTTGTGATTGGTATTCTCTGGCTCGTGCAACTCTGGATAGAAGAGATTATTTACTATGGAAGGGAGAATTTTTGGAAAAATGTCAAGAGCAAGCCCGCGCAAACGGAGGGCCAAATGCTCAAATAACTTATGAAATGCTGGCAGGACTGGGACAGTATATGGATATACAAAATCAGCTACATTATGTGCAACAGGCATATGAGCAAATTAGACTTTGTGGAAGGAAAGCCTGGTGGGCTTTACCAACAAAAGGGGACCCTCAGGGAGCTTTTAATAAATGTATGCAGGGACCTACAGAGTCATTTTCTGATTTTGTGGCTCGTCTCACTCAAGCAGCGAGACGACAGATTCAACATGAGGCCGCAGAAGCTATTTTAATTCAGCACTTAGCTTATGAAAATGCCAATGCTGATTGTAAGAAATGCCTGATGCCTCTGAGAAGAAATAGTACCATTACAGAGATGATTCAAGCATGTCAGAATGTGGGATCAGGCACTTTTCAAGCAAATTTACTCCCTGCTGCAGTAACAGGTGGAAATAAGAGGTGTTATAAATGTGGAAAAGCAGGACATTTCCAAAAGGAATGTAGGCAACCGAGAAGGCTAGGAAGAGGCATAAACACTCAACCTCCAGATTCAATCTCTCGGTGTCCTAAATGTCAGAAAGGGAACCATTGGGCCAGTCTGTGTAGATCGAAATTTCATAGAAACGGGCAGCCTCTAGATCAAGATAGAGGGCATGGCCAGTCGCCGGGAAACGGCCAGAGGGGCGCCCCCCAGCCCCATCATCAATAGGGGAAATCTGTCCTACAAGGCCCACAGTGGATTCCCTCATCCGAGCAACTCCAGGAAGCCCAAGCCTGGATCTTAACAGCACTATTGCGGTCACTTTGACCCCCGATATTGCTCGGCAAGCGATTCCTACAGGAATTTGGGGACCTGTGCCACTGGGAACTTTAGGATTAATCTTAGGGAGGAGTGGAAACACTCTAAAAGGCCTAACTGTCCTGCCTAGAGTCATTGATTCAGATTATGAAGGAGAAATTAAAGTTATACTAGAATGTAATCATGTTATGCAAATTACTCCAGGACAAAGGATTGCTCAGATACTATTTCTACCTTATGTTCAGCAAGGTGAGGCTATAAACAGGAAAAGAGGAATGCAAGGATTTGGAAGCTCAGGCATCTATTGGATACAGGAAATTAGCAAAACCCATCCCATGATTAATTTAAGAATAGAGGGAAAACAATTTAGGGGTCTAGTGGACACTGGAGTGGATGTTAGTATTATCAGCAAAGAATTCTGGACTCCAAGTTGGTCCACAGCAGAAGCTATGGGCTCAGTTAAGGGGGTAGGAGCTCCTGATGACACACAACATAGTGCTGCAGTGTTAAGGTGGCGAGATGAGGAAGGACAGACAGGATGGTTTCAGCCCTATGTCATCTCGGGAATTGCAGTCAACTTATGGGACCGGGATGTTTTAGAAGGTTTACAGGCGTGTATTGTTACCGGCAAAGGAAAGCCGTTAATAACTCAGATAGGATATCAACCTTTTAGGAGCGGTCACTGCTGAGTCTCCTCACCCTTATGCTGATCCTATACAATGGAAAGATGATAGACCTGTATGGGTGGATCAGTGGCCATTAACCAAGGAGAAATTAAATCATATTCATGAATTAACACAAGAACAAATAGAGGCTGGCCACATAGAGCCATCCAATAGTCCTTGGAATACACCTATATTTACAATCCCTAAAAAGGCGACAGGAAAATGGCGATTGTTACATGATCTTAGAGCAGTTAATGCTACTATGCATACCATGGGAGCTTTACAACCTGGACTCCCAGCGCCTTCACAAATCCCTTTAAGTTGGTCTCTCATAGTAGTAGATCTTAAAGATTGTTTTTTCACCATTCCCTTGGCACCTCAAGATAAACAGATTTGCATTTTCAGTGCCATCTATTAATAATATAGAGCCCATGAAAAGATATCAATGGAAGGTTTTACCTCAAGGAATGGCCAATAGCCCTACTTTGTGTCAAAAATATGTGGCTCAAGCTGTTCAGCCTTTAAGGGACAAATACTCCCAATGTACATTATTTATTACATGGATGACTTGCTCTTAGCAAGCCCACTGGAAGAGCAGACTTTGGCCATGTTTTCCCAATTAGAAGAGGAGCTCCCTAAATGGGGTTTAAGAATTGCTCCAGAAAAGGTACAGAAAGAAATGCCTTTCCAATATCTGGGAACCATAATTGAAAACCAGTGCATTAGGCCTGAGAAGGTGGAGATAAGAAAAGATTGTCTTAAAACTTTAAATGACTTTCAGAAATTATTAGGGGACATTAACTGGTTAAGACCTTATCTGAAGATCTCTACAGGAGAAATGACAAATTTATTTAGCTTACTTAGAGGTGACTCTAATCTTTCCTCTCCCCGAACTTTAACAGATGATGCTAGGAATGAGTTGCTAAGGGTTGAGCAGGCAATTTCCTCAGCCCAAGTAGCATGGGTCCAGCCTGAATTACCTTTATTGGGACAAATTAACCCTACTGCAACTAGTTCCACTGGAGTCATCTTTCAAAATAAAAATTCTCCTGCCATTATTGAATGGGTCCACCTAGGGCATCAATCCTCTAAAACTGCGGTTACATATGTAGAACTATTGGCCCAATTATTATTTCAAATTAGAAAATGTTGTAAACAGCTTAGAGGGGAAGAGCCCCAGTGTATCTACCTCCCCCTCACTGGGAAGCAATTAGAAATGTTATTTCAGACTGATATAAATTGGCAAATTGGGTTAAGTGGATATTCAGGGGAACTTAGCTGTCACCTATTAAAAGATAAACTACTACAATTTTTATATAATACCTCCATCATTATACCAAAAAATACTAGGCAGGAACCAATTCCTGGAGCTTTAACTGTTTTTACTGATGGATCATCAAATGGGAAAGCTGCCTATCATAAATTGATCACAATAAATTCAGACCGAGTCATACTGACCAGTCATACTTCTGTACAAAGAATTGAATTAGAAGCTATTAAGGCTGCATTGCAGGATTTCCAAGAGCCTCTTAATATCGTCTCTGATTCCTTTTATGCTGCGAACTTAGTGAGTAGAATTGAAACTGCCTGGTTGAAATGGCTTAGTGACCAAAGTTTATTTTTACTATTCAAACAAGTTCAGCAGATTGTACAACAGAGACAATATCCTTTTTATATCACTCACATCAGGCTCATAGTGTCTTACCTGGTCCTTTAACAAAAGGAAATGCACAGGCTGATCAATTGGTTGCTTTATTAAAAGAAGCCTTAGAATCTCATCAGCTTCTACATCAGCCTGCCAAAATGCTATCTAAACAGTTCTCAATCACTCGACAACAGGCAAAATAGATTATTAAGGAATGTCCAACTTGCATGTTACATCTACCTCAAGGGCTTAACATAGGAGTCAACCCTAGAGGTTTGCTGAGGGACCATATCTGGCAAATGGATGTAACGCATTATAATTCCTTTGGACACCTTGGGCCATTACATGTCTCTGTAGATACCTTTTCAAAAGTCCTATGGGCTACTGCATCTACAGGAGAAACAGAAAAACAGGTTATTAATCATTGCCTAGCTGCTTTTGCTGTCATGGGAATTCCAAAAATTATTAAAACTGATAATGGGCCTGCTTACACAAGCTGTCAATTCCAGGAATTTTGTAAAAGGTGGAAAATTCAGCACATTACAGGAATACCATATAATTCCCAAGGACAGGCCATTATTGAACGACAGCATCAGCGGCTAAAATCCCAACTTGAAAAACAAAAAGGGGGGATGATGGAGAAATCACCTGCGGGTAGGCTGCACCAAGCCTTAATTACTTTAAATTTTTTCACTTGTGATGCTGATGGAAAGACACCTATGGAGCTACATTGGTGTCAGAATAAAACAAAAGAAAATGGTCTAGTTAAATGGAAGGATCCCAAATCTGGTTTATGGAAGGGACCTGATCCATTATTAACCTTTGGCAGAGGGTATGCTTGTATATTCCCAGAGAATTTTTCCAAACCCGTGTGGATTCCTGCTAGAAATATTAAACTGCAACAGGGATCCAAGAGAGAAACTAGCCAGACTAATGAGGACCTTGCGCCTGGAGCCACACCATGCAGCTGCAGACAATCAACTACCTCAGCCACAGAGAGCAGCGACTCAGAGCAGTCCACTGAAGATGAGGAGCAGGAGGAGTACGAGCCGGACAGCAAACAGCCTGGAGACCACCTGGGGCATGGTAAAGAAGACAGTACAGATGCCTGACGCCTGAGAACATCTTTCTTGCCATGCTAGCAATAATCATCTGTACGGTAATATTACCTAGGGCAAATGTGGAAGTATTTCATACTTATGCTCTCTTCATGGGTAAGAACTGTTACATGGGCTGATCCCCCGCCCAATGTAGTATCCAGTAGGAACATGGGTGGGGCAAGGAAGCAGGGGACTATCACTACTTGCTCCTGGGAGAGGTGCAGAAAATGTAACTAAGACCTTGTCTATACAAAAAGAAATTGACAGCCAGTTGAAAATTGAATTGCCATGGCCAAGAGCAGGGGTGGGCAAACTTTTTGACTCAAGGGCCACAATGGGTTCTTAAACTGGACCAGAGGGCCGGAACAAAAGCATGGATAGAGTGTTTGTGTGAACTAATATAAATTCAAAGTAAACATTACATAAAAGGGTACGGTCTTTTTTTTTTTTTTTAGTTTTATTCATTTCAAACGGGCCATAGTTTGCCCACAGCTGGCCTAGAGCAAAGAATATCCTTACATGATATTATTCTACAATGTCATTAATAATTTTTGATATTTTACAACAGCATATTGTACATTTATCCCAAACAAACTTATAAACTAATTCTTTGAATGTTTGGCAGCAATTTAATAAAGACATGAAAGGATTTAATCCCTTCCACTGTGTGGAAGGCCCCCTGGGAAGGCACTTGAGCATTCTATATTGGCCTCTCTTGCCCTTTTTGCCAAGAGGGTCCCTCTTTTCACAATCCAATTGCCCACAGCTGTTGCCTGAGCTCTCTTTTCATGCTGAGGTTGAAGCCTCATGGTGGCTGGTACCATGGATCTGTCTCTCACCCAATAGCATGAGCTGGGCCCTCCCTGGAGAAGAAACCTGGGTTCCCCAAGATATGTGATCAATGCCGGGGCCCCGCCAGCAGGCGAAGGGATCCCAAGGCAGTTGCTGGGCGTGGAGGCCACAGGGGCATAGGCTACCAAGGAGACAGAACTGAACCTCACATCACCCTGCTTGGCCCCGGAGGATGGCTGGTTAGCCAGAGACGGGTAAGATTCCTCAGGGAAGGAACAACCTAAGACAGGCACAGTCGCAGAGGGGCCATCAGGAGAGAACTTGGGGGTCAACAGAGGTGGGGCACAGATCCTCCCCCTCTCCCCAACTATGCAGGGGCTTGAACACTCGCCCCTTCTGAGGGAGGTCTCCTGCCCCCATGGCTGCTGCCCGCTTCCCATGCCCAGCTCAGATCGGGACCCAGATAACAGAAAGAGACTTGGCCCAGCTCAGATCAGGACCCAGAAACAGAGACTTCACTGACAGCAGCTACCCTATATCTAAATCCAGCCTAACACCAGGGATGCTCAGGGCCTTCTCAAGGATGCAAAATAATCTTTTCCATTAATATTTACAGTGTAAACTAAGATTGTTGTTAGAGTATTAAGTTTGACAGCAAAATAGTAGTCAAGTTTTCAGATTAATTTAAATTGGCTAATTTGAAATAAGTAAATATTCAAGAAGTATTAACCAAAATTTTCATTTCATGGTAAAATTGCTTAACATGCAATGAACCTAAAGCAGTCATATTTTTGTGCAAAAAATTAAAATTTAAAGTTATCTAGACTACATTATAAAAATTTCCCAGAAGCCTCCTAATAATTAAATCAAAAAAGGGGGGGATAGTGGAAAAATACCATGTAAGGAAAAATATCCTGTAACTAAATTACATCTAGAAAAAATTTTTCATTTGTAATGCTAACAGCAAGACACCCATGAAAAACATACATGGTGTCAAAATAAGCCAAAGGAAAATCATTTGGGCAAATATAAAAAGGATACCAATTAAAATTTCCTTTATTAACTTTTGGTCGAGAATATGTTTGTATATATTTCAGAAAACAACTCCAAGACCATGTGGATTCCTGCAACAGAGAGGAATTATCAGGAATGCTCCAGCCATGAAGACAAGAGGAAAAACAATCCAGAGATGGAAGACGTTGAGGACGCTTTGTCATGCTAGGTTGCCCAGGACCAAACCAGAGAGGGTCGGACCTGCATTGCCATCATTTGTTCACCATCCAGAACTGAAATATCATTGCTGACATGTACACATAAGGAACTGTCAGACATTGAAACTTGGACTCAGAACTGTTGGACATTGAAATTGGGACTCAAACATTTTTTGTGCTTATATGTTTATTTCTGGTCTGCAGATACAAGATTTTTTAAGGAAAAGAGAAGGGGGAGATGTGGGAAACCGCCTATTGTCTTCACTAGAAGAGAAGTGTGGACAGGGAACTCGGAAGGCTGGTGACCCTTGTAGCCCTGAAAAGGTTCAGAGCTATGTACCCACTGTTTAGTCGAGACAATGGTAGCTGAAGCAACTTCCCCACCAGATAGTCATGTAAATCCTTATTGATAAGATAGTCTGTGTGTTACTGGAACTTGCCTGCCTAAGGGCTATGGGTGTATTCCAAACTAAATAAAAGGGAGAGCTAGGCCAGAGCAGTGGTAGTACTCCCCTTAGAGGTGGACTCCCGCCTGGCCCCCATTTCCCAAATTAATTCTTTTCTAGTCTCTCTTCATTTTGTGTGCGGCCTTCTCCAGAACCCGAACCCTGAACACGTACCCTGAATAACGTGGGATGTGAAAGGGGCTACCACAAGTCTTCAAAACAACTTGAAGAGGTTGGTTACTGTTATTACCCCTATTTTACAGACAAGAAACTGGATCTCAGAAAGTGTAAGCTTGTCATTTGCTCAAAGTCACACAGTGAGCAAGTGGCATAGCAAAAAATACAATATTCCAAAGCCCAAGCTCGTGACAAGAGGCTTATAGACGTGGCCCAACCTGTTGCCTGCAGGGTAAATGATTGACATTGTGTAACTGTCCAGGATTCAAGGAGGGAAAGCATCCTCAATAAAACTCCCTGCTCAGTAGGAGAGAGGCTGTTGGGGAGTGACTGACTTATAGGATACCTGGAAGACATTCTTGGATTTTTAAAAACAATTTTTTAAATATATATTTTATTGATTTCAGAGAGGAAGGGAGAGAGAGATAGAAACATCAATTATGAGAGAGAATCATTGATTGGCTGCCTCCTGCATGCCCCCACTGGAGACTGAGCCCACAACCCAGGCATATGCCCTTGATTGGAATCGAACTTGGGACCCTTTAGTCCACAGGCCGATGCTCTATCCACTGAACTGCCAGAAGCTGGTCCATCCTTGCTGCTTGACACAGTCGCTGCAGGGAAGAAACATCTGCACAGCATGTTTCAAGGGACCTGGCGTATGTGGCATACTGTTCTTAATATGTTTGCTCCCCTCCTTAGCGCTATGTGTTTTAACCAAGGTCACCTCTCTGAGAAAGGTTGTTTCCCCAGGTGGGGATTTTTCCCTGGAGTTAGGGGGGAATAAAACCCCTTAACTAAGTGCCAGGCAGGTAGTTAATCACTTTAACTATGAACAATCATGCTTAAGCTACATAATCTTTACTCCCTGGAATGGAGATAAGAAACGCCCTAACCTTTGGAATAGAAATTGATAGGATTAAAATCAACTGGTATAAATACAGATGTAACAAGACAATAAAAAACAGAACCTGGCTGGAGAACCTAGTGAGAGAACATGGCAAGAGAACCTGGCTAGAGATCCTGGCTAAAGAACCTGGCTAGGCTGCTGATCAACTGAACGCTGTCTCTGTGTCATTCCTTCTTTGCTGACTCCGTCCATACCTTTGGGAACCCCTGGACCTGCTGGGTCTGTACCCCAACACTGAGCCAAACTAGCTAGGGCTAAAAACAATTTTAATGCCCTCTAGGTGCCAAGCACTGTGTCAAGTAGGGGATGACAACCCAGGTAGGTCTTTGACAGGCTGCATTCCTCACTTTCCCTACCACAAGGTTTCCCTATGTCTAAAGGGGGTTTTGCTAATTTCCTCACTTCCTGGCTTGTGGTCTAGGCCAGCAGTCACCAACCTTTCGGACCTCATGGACCACCAGTGGTCCGTGGACCACCAGTTGGCAACTGCTGGCCTAGAGCACCTGCCTCAGAAAGTCTACTGCCCAGTAGGGAACCTTATGTAATGTAGGTGTCTCCCTTTGTGAAGCACAAGGAATTTGGAGGTGGTTCACAGGTTCCTGCATGTGAGATGTTCTATTTAGTCTGTGACTCCTTTGAGGGGTCTTAGGTTGAGGCTGGGAAGTACCGGGCACACGCTTGGGGGCACAATTTGCTGTATGTGACAATTACGATGTCTTTTCTCTGTGTCAGTCTGGGGTCCCAGCTGAAATGGGAAATGTCATCTTAAATGTATGTACAGGAGCCTGACTCTCTTCCTCCATCTCTCACAGTCCCCTGCCTCACCACCTCCTTTCCTCCAGCCCTGCCACCAGGACTCCATCCTTGTCCAGCCCTGTCCTTCCCCAAGGTTCTATCTCCTTGACCACACTGCCTTCCTCCTCAGCAACCAGCTTTTCCTCTTTCGTACCCCTCCTGTCCCGGCTTTCTGCTCCCACCCCTGCCTCACTCCCCCCAGCCCCTTCGCTGGATGCCTGCCTTCTCCCTCCCGACCCGCCTCCTGTGTCTCCCAGCCCTGCTCTGACGTGGGAGGTGAGGGGGGTGGGGGGATGGATGACTCACAGTGTTATGATGCAGTTCCACAACACACAGCTACATTCACCCACAGACCGAGGTACAGACGGGAGGCAACCTCTGGCCCCCCAGCAGCTGGCCAGCTCTGCAGCCCCAGTCTTGAGCCCCTAACTCCCCTCCCCCACCCCTTCCCAATTGAAGGAGCGGAAAGAGAAGAGAGAAGAGTGAGGAGAGAGAGAGAGAGATAGACGGAGATCTCTGGAGCAGACCTCAAGGTGAGGGGGCAGCCCTTCTCCAAATGATTTTTTTCCCCTTTGCAAATTTCCTCCTCCTGCTGCGTGTTGCTTTCTCCCCTTTGCAAAAGCATTATTCATCCCTCCTTTGTCCTCCCTTCCCCCTCCCTGCTGCCTCCGCTCCTCAGCTCCTCCATCCCTCTCCAAGCTCTGCCAGTTCCGCACTTATTTCCCGGCAACTTTGGCTGCAGCATCAGGCATCGCTGTTGATTGTTTTGTGGCTGTTGCAGACCACCGCCCCCCCCAACCTCCCCCCTGCCCCAAAGTCCGCCCTGGGAGCTGGCTGCGCTGCTAATGATTTTGGACCATACCATGCGAGAATGCCAGCCCAGAGGGGGCCGACGCCTCAGAGCAGATGAGAAAATCCATTGTGAGTGCGTGGCCCCCTCCCGTTTTTTCCCCCTGAGAGGCACCGGATTCGCACCTGGCTCCTGGAGCCTCTGCCTTGGGGCCTCTGCTGTCAGTGATGGTTGCTCAGCAGCCCTCCCTTCCCAACCCTCCCTCTTCCCCGCCTCCCACGGTCCAGCTCTGGCTCACTCGGGGAATATCCTCTCCCCAGCACTCAGCTTGTCTTTGTTTTTCCCTGTCATTTGCCCAACTTGCTTCTCTCTGTGATCTGAGATGGAGAAGATATGACCCCTACCGCCCCTCCTGTGAGTGATTCTCTGGCCTGTGCAGCCTCTGCTTTGCTTGATGGGGAAGCAGGGGAGAGAGAGGGTGGGAGGCGTGACGGAGGCCCGGGGAAGGAGGCCGAGCAGGGACCTGGCCAGCCCCCTCCTGGGCCCTTGAAGGTGCGCTAGGTGGAGCGGCAGAGGGCCACCGCAGGCAAAGTTGGAGGCAGACCCGTGAAGTGGATGCTGACCAGTTTGTGCTGGTGAGGAGAGCCTGTTTCTTGTGACCTGAGCCCAATGTCACCCTGGGTGTCTTCCCGGGGCTGGCCACGGGGACAGGACGTGGAACAGAAGATGGTCTCTGTCCGGGGTTTTATGGAGAGATTGCCGGCCCCAAGAAGGACTGGAGCAGCTGGGCCCTCGCAGCCACTGCAGAGGGCAGGATGACAGCCTGTTTGCCCTGGCTGCCCGGAGCCCTGCTGCCTCAGGGCCTGCCGTTGCCAGAGAGCACCCAGCTGGCACCTCTGAAACAGACTTGGGCTAAACCACCCGCCACGGCCCTGAAGGCCCCATGAAGGAGAAGGCAGCACCTCACCTGCTTATCAAAGCCACCAGAGGCCACCTCCCTTCTTATCCTCTGCCTCCAGCTCCCTCAGCCACGCAGGGGCTGGCGTTTGGACAGATGTCAACATTTTCCTCAAGACTCCTAATCAGAACCCGGCAAATATATCTTCTGTCACCCACAGGGGCACTGCTGTTTGTCCCTGCCTCCAGCAGAAGGTGGGAGCATTCTCTGCCTTGTGCCCCTAAGCACAGCTTTTGAAAATTCAAGTCCCCCCTCTTGCTGCTCCTTGAAGATGTTGTCCATACATGACCCCCCCCCCCCCCCCCGCCAGCCCTGCTCAGCCCAAGAGGAGTGCTGTCCTTCCTGCCAGGGGGCCCGTTTTCCATCGGGTCCAGCCATCAGATTTGCCTGAAGAGAGTTTCTCTCCTATAGCTGGGGGCCTCCATCCTGAATTATTGGCTAAGGCCATTGTAAAGAGCAGTAGAAAGAGACCAAGGGGCTCAGGCTGAGAAGACAGCCAGGCACTGCTTCTGAGCCACACAGAGTGGACCAAGGGGCAGGCTCAGGCAATAACAGCCACTTCCAAGGTCTTTGGTAGAGAAGGAGACATCCATGGAGTTCTAGTGCCCAGGGGAGGGATGAAGCCCGGTGTGTGCACCTGCTGGCCTGGCCTGCTCTCCCTCTCATCTTCCCCTCCTCCTCCCACACGAAATGTATGAAGGACCAATTGTATTGCAAATAGAGGCGATGAAATAGAAAAACTGCCAGACATCCCCAAATTCTAAGAGGCTTAGAGCCCCAGAGCCTATCAGAGCATGTGGGACGCAGATCCTCGCCGAGGAACTGAAATCAAGGAGAGCACTGCAGATGGCATCGCTCCCATGGCAGCGTGGACCAGCGGCTGCTCCCCGTGGAAATGCTGGAGGCTGCTCCCGCCCCGGGGGCGGGAGGGGGGGGTGCGCGCGGTGAGACAGCGCCTCCCCAGCTAGGGCACCTGCGGCCTGGAACTGCTGCCAGGCTTGCCGGAGCAGATGGGAATCCAGGGGACAGGGAGGCTCAGAGCGACTGAACGCTGAATTGATGGCGATGGGGCACGTAGGGCAGGGGTGAGATGAGCACCAGGTTCGCCATTCCCTCGGAGGGGCTCCACGTGAGGTCACAGCTCTCCTGATGCACCTTCCCCTCTTCCCAGGTGACTTCTATTCCTACCTGGCTCACGTCTGGGGGGGGGCCCTGGCCGGGCAGCCCCCCCACATTTCTCCTGCCCTGAAACACGGCTCTAGCCAACCTGCTCCGCTGCTTCACCTGCGACCGCCTGTGTGGGGGCTGCACAGCGCCGGCCCCACCCGCCCGCCAGGGCATCGTCCTCCAGCCCGTCATGCCCAGCTGTGACCCGGGTCCGGGCCCCGCCTGCCTCCCCACCAAGACCTTCCGTAGCTACCTGCCCCGTTGCCACCGCACCTACAGCTGCGTCCACTGCCGAGCACACCTGGCCAAACACGATGAGCTCATTTCCAAGGTACGCCACATGGGGGCCTGCCACTCCCCTCCTCGCCCCCACAGCCTGCCCTTCCTCCTCCATGCCCCTGGGGATTCACTGCCCGTCCCGTGTCTCCACAGTCCTTCCAAGGGAGCCACGGCCGAGCCTACCTGTTTAACTCCGTGTGAGTCCACCTCTCTCTTTGTGTGTGTGCGCGTGTGTGTGTGCATCATGTTCCTCTGTGGACAAAGAAGGTGAGCCACCAGAAGGTGGCCTTGCAACTCTGCTTTGCGTCCCCTCTTGCAAAGGGGTTCAGAAGCTCAGGCTGCAGTTCTCTTGTGGGGAGTCTGGGCAGAACTGGAATCCCCTGTTGGAGGAAGGCCCAGGCACTCGTCTTAAGGGGGCAGGTTGCTGAAGGCAGGGGCTCCCAGCTGGGTGGGTTAAGCTCTCCAGATGGAAGCTCCTTTGGGCTGTTGGGGGGCTGGACTGACAGAGCGACACCACTCGGTGCTGGGTCCCTCCTGTTTCTTGAGACAGGGTCAACGTGGGTTGTGGGCCGGCAGAACAGCGCCTTCTGCTCACCGGGCTCCACTCGGTAGCTGATATTTTCTGTGAGAGCTGCAAAACCACACTGGGCTGGAAATATGTAAGTACAGGGGAGGGGCGCCCTCCCAAACGGACAGTCTCATGGCCCTCCAAGCCCCAGTGGGGTGGACTGGGTGGGGGGACTTTCAGGGCAGGGGTAACACAGGAGGTAGGAGGGCCTGGCGGGGACTGCGTGGTCCCACATTCACCACTCCCTCCCCACCAGGAGCAAGCCTTTGAGACGAGCCAGAAGTACAAGGAGGGAAAGTACATCATTGAAATGTCACACATGGTGAAGGACAACGGCTGGGACTGAGGGGCTCAGGCAGGCAGTGCCCTTCCTCCGCATGCCCCACCCTCCCATACCTGTCTCCTGGCCCTGACAAGCGGTCTGTACCAGCATGAGTACTGCTCCACCCCTGGGGGGATTCCGGCTCCCACCACCCCCTCCCGCCTCCACCTCATCACTCCCAGGCCTCTTTGGAACAGGGGTCTGGGGGGCTCCAGGGGTGTCCAAGGCTCAGGAGTGGGCAGCAGTCAGGAGAGAGGCAAAACTGGGGAAAGGGGTGGTTGTGGGTCCTCCTAGCCCCAAGGTCCTATAAATGGAGGCGATGGCAGGCCATGCGTTAGGCGGAGGCCAGTAGGAGGAATCTGCTTTTGCTCCACCTTTTCGAGTAAACAGAGGACAAAGCTTGAGTCAGGGGCTGGTATATCCTGGGCTACAGAATATCAGAGAAAACGCTTGGGTTGGGGTGAAGTTTGGGCCTCACACACAGGGAGAAAGCAGTCTCTGAGGGTGAAAGGAAAAATCTCAAATCCCAGGCCCTGGGAAATAGAGGAATCACAAGGGTTTCCATTTCACTCCACTTGTTTATCTTGGCACTAAAGAGGCACTTTCCAGTATCTAACCTTTGCCACTTAGTGGGATGGGGAGAGCTGCCTCGGCAGCAGCCCCCACCCCCAGCTGGCTGTTTCCGGAGCGAGCGGTCTCTAGGGGCATTCCCTGAGGCCCAGCTACTGCTCCCTGGGACGCAGTCCCAGGGAGGGGAGGCGGGAGATCAGTGCTACGGGGCCAGGCTTTCTCGTGGCTGCCACCAGCGAATGAAACTTTTGTATGATACATAAAGTGTTTGGGTTTATTTTTAATAAAAAGAGGAAAAGCAGCTATGAAGTGCTGTCCTCTGACTTTCCTTCCTTGTGCAAGTAACCAGTCCCCCCCGCCCCCCCACCGTCCCTTCATGCCACTAGGGGGCAGCAATTGCTTTGTCTGTGGCAAAACCCCACTGGAGTTTTTACTAAGGGATGGGTATCCAGGTGAGGTTTTGTTTGGTTAGAGGGATGGCTTTTGTGAGTCATTCCATTTGGAGCACCCAAAAACAGCTTGAGTCTACTGGAGCCCTTGATGATTTGCCTGGATTCATGATGGGACATCTGGAAGAAACTCATCCCAGAGCTAGGGTGTTCTTGGGTCCCATTGCCTTTGCATATTTGCTGATTCTGTCATATTTTGGTCAGCTCACAGCCATACTTAAGGCTAAGAGGAAAGTCGCCCAGCTAAGGTGCTGCCCTGGCAACTGATACAAAGTGGAACAAAACAGTTCAAATTTGCAGCATCCACACAATCATGTGACCCAAGTGTAATTTTTTGGCAGTGATGTGAAGTTGCTATTGTTGTTGGGTCACTGACAACTGCAGGGAGGACTGTACACATTATAAAAACCAAATAACAAGCTAGCTTGTTATTTCCATGTTCACTCATTGATACTGCAAATATTTGCAAAGCAACTATTGCTTTTCAGGCATGGTGTTAACCACTGGAGATGCAAGTGAAGAGCAAGGCAGCATGGCCTGACTTCATGGTGGTCTAGTGGGAGGACAAACAGTCATCAGGCAATTCCAATAGAAGGTGACAGGATCTGAACAGGGATGGGGAGCAATCTTGGGAGCTTGCAGGAGAGGCTTAGTCAAAATCTGAGTCAAAAATAAAAATCTGAGTCAAGGTAGGCTTAGCGAAAGTGATGACTGTGATGGCACCTGCAGGATGAGAAGTTGGGTGGGTGAAGAGTAGGAGGTGGGGGAATAGGTCAGGCAGAGAACTGCGTCAGGTGGCTCTTACTTAGCCAATTTGAGGAGGAAATAAAAATTTCCCCTATCTGGAGTATAGGTGCAAATGGGTGAGAGATGAGAGGACACAGGAAAGACAGGCAGCAGTCACAGACCATTTAGGGAATCAAGATTTCATCCCGAGGGCATTGGGGAAAGACTGAAAAGTTCTTGTTTTTTAACAAGAGTGGAGTGGCATCATCAAATGGCTTTTTTGTGCCCAGAGAAGACACTCAAGTAGAACCATTAATAGACTGAAGAAAGTACGGGACATAAACTGTGTAGCATCTCCAATGCTGTCAGATGTGAGAATGGAGCTGTCTGGGCAGAAGAACAGAAGAGAACTGGAAGTCAGGTGCAAGAAAGCAAATGCACCCCCATCGGAGAGGCCTTGGGGGGGGGTGTCTGCCCCCCTGTTCAGTGTCTGCATACCTGGTGATGTCTAGAGATCCTCTCAGGCTCCGGCGAGGGACCCAGAACCCTGTCCCTCTTGGTCCCATTTCTTGCAGCAAAGTTCAGGAAGGTTTCTGAAGCTTCAATCTCTGACCTTGAAAATTGGGCACAAACTAGCTGCCTTCTTAAGGCTCCCCAAATATGCCTGTCTCTCAACTTACTTTTAAGTTCTTACTAAGCCAACGAGGCACTGTGGGAAGCAAAGAAGTAAATGGCATAGTTGTTGCTTTCAAGATCCTGCAATCTCTCCTGGAAGAAACCTTCTGTGGGCTCTGCCCAGGGATCCTATTTAGTCTCTAAGATCAGCCTGTGGGCAATGCCGTCTAAATCTTGGATGGCCAGACAGGTATACCCTCAAGAAACATCATTATCAAACACCTGTGACCAAGAGGGGTCATGCTGGGAATTACAGGTGGATATAAGCTCTCCTTTCTATACCTAAGACCCAGAGAAAAAGCCACAGGCGTTGAATGCCAGGAGCACCCATGTCCTCATCCCTGGGGAGCAGTGTTTTCAAGTTAGCCCTTTTATCTTTCTTGTGCATCTAATTTTCCAATAGAGGTCTACTCGGGTCAAAGTAAGGATTCTCCCAATCTTCTCCATTCACCACCCTCCAATCCCAAGCCACAGCTGAGACCTCAAGCCAACAAGCCACTTTTATCCTTAAAGGCTTAAGATTTTGGAAGATACCCTCATACAACCAGCAGGTGGCATTCAAGCCTTCCACCCCTCAGCTCAATTGAGAACCTACCCAAACCTCTTCAGATAGTTCTACAAAAAGATAGGTGAACTGTCAGATTTAGGACAAGGTTATATCCAGGCTCTGCAATTGAAGAGTTATATAACCTTGGCCATACTGCTCAAACCTTCTGGCTCAGTTTTTCCATCTGTGAAATGGGGTTATGGCTTGCCAAGATGTCACTAGTGCACACCCACAACGTAATAAGGGTCTAGCACACAGATTGCATGTAGAAGTGCTTTCATAAATGTGAGCTATTCACCTGTGATAGTGAGGCTTCCCAAATTCCCACTAGGGTAGCTGATTGGTGCCCAGATGGGAGAGGAAGTCTTGATGCTGAGGAGGCAGCCGGCGCTGGTAGCACTACACGGCCAATGCCCTTTTAACATTGCACTGCTAGTGGTAGGTGCAGACAGTAGCACAATGTGAAAAGAGCTCCGGCCTGCAGCAGAGGCGTGCCGGCCCTGCCTCCTCACCCCTCTCCCAGTCCCCGGCCCACTCAGCCTCCCTCGGCCTTTCTCATCTTCAGTACAGCTTTCCTCCCTTCTCCTCCGTTCCCAGTGTTAATCCTCTATTTTCGCTCCACTCCTTGCCTTCTTCCTCATGCCTGCCCAGCACTGCGGCCACCTTTTTCTTGAGTTTTGGCGTGGAAACAGGGTCCAGGGAGGCAGCCAAAGGAATACCTTGAGCTTCACTCTCAGTCTTCACAGGAAGTGACTGGTGGAAACCCCAGAAAATTTGGGGACACTCACGTTATCTGGTTTGTGTCTCTGTCAGCTTCTCTTCTGGAGAGAAGCTTGCCCACCAGGACCACAGAGCCCTCTATTCTTCCCTACTTTAAAGCTCTCTCCTTTTTAGATAAAGGGGGGTCCTAGGCCTCAAGGGGACACCTTGGCTGAAGCTCCAGGACCAGAGGGTGAGGGACTATAGTCATAAGTCCCCAGGCAGCACAGATAAGCTTCCAGGTCTGGAGGTGGAAGCTGTGAGTGGCCCCATGGCTCTGTATCTCCTCTGAGGTCTTCAAAATCCACTTTAGGGATTCAACATGAATCAAAATAGGGAGGGTGATTCCGTCTCTTATACTGAGTGGTAGGGATAGGCTTTCACTGGCAGTGGGATTCGAATCTAGGGTGCTTCCTATTTTATCCAGGGACTCCCATTAGGAAGTCTTCAAGCTTACCCAGGACTTCCCCATCCTACCCTACAGGAGGGGGCTTAAACTCTGGATAAACAATCCTGAGACTGATTAAAACCCAAAGCACACGACTGGACCTGGAGAGCCAAAGGTTCAGAGCCCTAGTAGGACACACTCCTGGCCAGAGCTGTGGCCCCAGAAGGCCCAGCTCTAGTTCTGCCCCGGTGAACTATGGTGTACCGACCAGGGAAGGCCTTTCGACCATGCTGATGCCCTCCCTCCCCCATCCACAGCCAACAGGAGGAATGGAGGACAGAATTCCAGTTGGGAGCTCTTCCTCTGGGCTTCCCCTCCAGCCTTCTCCCACCCTGCTCAGGAAGCAGGAGGCTCTGCCGCCCTCCCAGGCAGACTTTGTTCCTGTAATCTGCAAGCATGGGCCCTGTCCCCTAGTTTGCACAGTTCTAATGGACGGAAACTAAGGCCCCGCTAGGGTCAGTCACCAGGCCTCTGCTTCTGGGTTGGGCAAACCAGTCCCAGCTGGGAACTGGATCATGTCAACAGAGGGGGAAAGACAGGACTGCCCCGCCAGCTTTAGGGAGGCTAGAGGAAGATCCTTCACCAAGGAGTGCTCCTAGCGAAGAGAAGGGAGAGGGAGCCGGGGCCAAGATCCCCTCAACTCTCACACCCAACTCATTGCAGGGCGGGATTCCCTGCAACTCACCAGCCAGCAGGGCCCCTCCCCCACCTTGGGCCCAGGAGCCATCCCCGAGCTCCTTCCAGAGGCGGGTGTAGAGGCCGAGGAGGAAATGGGGGAGGGGAGGCCCGGCTCAAGTTCTCTCTACTCCCCCTCCTCATTGGCCACCATCTTCCGGCCCCTGCCCCCCAGAGCAGCAGGGGATGGGGCCCAGCCTGTGGAAGGGAGAGAAAGGGCCGCTGAGGGTTAGCTGGAGCAGCGGGGGCAGCGGCTGGCCCCAACTGTCTCCTCCCACCCCCTCCCCGCAGCCATGGCGACAGGAGGAGGAGACCAGGAGGGTCCTGAAAGCCATGTTCTGTGAATGGGATGAGAGGGGTAGGGGGGAAGAAAGGGGTGAGGGGCGCTCTCCCTCCACACCCTACTGTGCCCCCCCCCCCACACACACACACCTCGAGGCTGGACCACACGCGCGCACGCACGCACGCGCGCACACACACAACTCTCAGCCACAGTTTCTGCACAACTCAGCCCTTACAACACACACTTACCCCCAACAGCCAGCCCGGGAGTAGGAGCACACTGCTCCCGACCTCCCGCACCCCGTAACACCCCACAACTCTCAGCTCGGGGGCGGGCCTCATCGTCCCCCCCAGCCCCCCCCTACACACAGTCCCTTAGCTCAGTCCAACTTCTTAAGATGCACAACTCCCTGCCCTGCTCCAGCCCTTGGGCCACGGTGCGCCCCTCCCAACACACCCGCCAAGGCCCCGCACCCTGCCCAGCCCCGGGCGGACAGATGGCCCAGCCGCAGCCCTGCCCCGCGGAGCCCCCCACGCCTCCCCACCCCACCACACCCCCCACTGGAAAGTGACAGGGAGGCCGCCCCGGTGCGTCCCCGTTCAGAGTTGCTTGTAAAGGAAAAGACAGAGGAGATCGGGAGTGGAGAAGGAGGGGAGAGAGGAGACAGAAAGAGCCCAGACCACCCCTCCCCTCCCCAGCAGAGAAGAAACCCGAAAATCGGTGGCGTTTCCCTTCTGGGAGCTGCCGATACCTACACATGGCT